GTATGTCGTCAGTAGCCATAGGGATTTGGTTATACGCTTTAACCAAGTCGATTTTCGAAAAGACAGTTGTACCTTTCAAGGTAGCTGTCAAATCGTGAATGTGAGGCAACGGGTAACGATCGGGAATGGTTTTCGCGTTCAATCGCCGATAGTCACCAGTTGGACGCCAATCGTTGCTGTCCTTTTTAGGGACCATGTGCAACGGAGATGCATATGGGCTACTTGACGGTCGTATGATTCCTAAGTCCATCATGTGATCGAATTCGTTTTTCGCTAACCTTAGCTTTTCAGGAGCTAGTCGTCGTGCTTTAGAAAATACAGGTGGTCCTGTAGTCGTGATGTGATGTGTAACATTGCTGGTTACACACGGTAGTTTCGGTTGAGTTTGTTGTATCCCAGGGTACTTATCGAGTAGTGGTTGATAGAGTGGGTCTATCATATGTTTAACTGTGACTGGGGATACTCTACAACCAGTAAAAGAAGTTACGCAAACGGACAAATTAGTGTTTCCGTCTACTAGCCTCCGTTTGCGAGTGTCGATGATCAGATTGTGGTGTTGTAGAAGGTCCATACCAATGATTGGCATAGAAACATCTGCAACGACGAAAATCCAGTGGATGGGTTTGCGTAAACCCACGTTAAGGTAAACGTACCTTTTGCCATACGTAGCGATCGGTTTTCCGTTTGCCGCCTGTAAGTTTAGGGTCGATTCGTGAAGTCGGTCGTTAGGATTTGCTGGGAGAACGCTAACTTCTGCGCCAGTGTCGACGAGGTAGCGAACTCTCGTTGTCACATCTGTGACGAATAACAGACGGCTTTGTTCGCCGGCTACGGTTGCCGTTAACGCGTGCCGGCTTGGAAGTTTCCCGAATCAGTCGGTTTCGTGTTGGGAAAATTGCAGGGTTTTCTGCAATTTCTGGAAAACTTTCCATACTGGTTATGATACCAGCACCAGTCGGGGTTATCTGTCTCTCGTGGTCTAGAGACAGATCGCTTACGAGAAATGCTTCTACGTGGTGTGCGCGATCTCTTACGGTCGGTACGAAGACTAAGATAACGCGTGAGTGTGTGACATAAGTCGGTTATGTCATTCTGAGTCGTGTGAGGCTTTTCTTTGACTGAAAATACCTCGGTAGTAGAAGGTTTCGTAATTTCTAGAATGCGGTCGGCAGATACAGCTAGTTCGTCTAAGGCGTTGTTCTGGAACGAGACCAGAACTGCTTGCACCTGTTGGGGAAGTTTTGACAAGAAGAGTTGTTTGAATAGACCTTCGTCGAAAGTTCTTGGGCCTATAACCTCTCTCATCCGTTGCAACATGTCCGTCGCAGAACCGTGTTGCAGGTCGATATTGTTGAAGAGTTGATCTAACCTTTGTCGATCGGTTAGGTCTCCTCGTTTAAGAATCGAGCGTTTTAAGATTTCGTAAGGATCGGAAACATCACTAGTAAACATACTAGGTGTTACGTACCTGTTGAATTCGCGCGGTAGTGCCTTGACTACTGCGAGGAATTGTGCACGTGTGTCGATCACGCCGTGCTCGGAAAAGTCGGCTTCTGCGTAGCAAAACCAGGCTTCGATGTTGTCGGGCCAGAAAGGCATCAGTTGAAACGAAGGTGGGGACAAGGTCTTAAGCTTGAGTACTTTAGGTGTCTGTTCAGTCATGATGAAATATGAAGTACGATAATGAACGAGGGGAAAATATATATATATATCCAAGAAAAACACGAAAAAAAATCACAATGTTTAAAAAAAATAAAAAATAAGGCAATGATATATAAAAATCCCAAAAAGGAACAGACTCACAGTTGCAATAAGGTGTACCAGATCACGACGGTCTCACCAATGATGATGTCACAGGTATTCAGTGTTTGACAACGCTTCTACCAGTAACACCTTCTAAGATATTTCGTTCCCACCAAGAGAAATCAAAAGACAGAGTCGAGGAGATCGGAAGAGTATATTTGGCGATGACCAATATACCGGGATTCTCTGATCTAATCTGGCTAGCGATTGTGGTTGATGTTGAGCACGGCGTTACTACACGTGATCTGGTGCGGATGCCTGACCGAGCGCCTTCAGCTAGATGAGTCCACTAAAACATATGGTCAGCATCCAATGTCGAAAACTTACAGAGCTATTTATTTTAGGGATTTATTTACCGCTACAATAGGTTTAATCCCTTCTGGGCTTATTGTGTGACCGAGAAATTCTAAAGTTTGAACACCGAAAACACACTTACTTTGATGTATGTTTATTCCATGTTCATCCAGTCTTTTCAACACTGCTTGTACATGCTGTTCGTGTGATTGCAAATCGGGGCTGGCAATTAACAAGTCGTCTATATACCCCTGCGCAAATGGCATATCTCGAAGTAGGTTATCTATGAATCTTTGAAATGTTTGTGCCGCATTTCTCAGGCCGAATGGCATGCGTACAAACTCGAATAAGCCAAAGGGTGTAGTAATAGCCGTCTTGGGAATATCTTCATCAGCCACCGGGATATTGTGATATGCCCTGACTAAATCAATTTTAGTGAATATGTTCATACCCTGTAAACCGTTGGTGAAATCTTGGATATGAGGTATTGGGTACCTCTCTGGTACGGTTTGACGGTTTAGGGCTCTGTAATCCCCGCACGGTCGCCAGTCACCTTCATTCTTCTTTGGGACCATATGCAAAGGGGATGCCCATTGACTATCAGAGGGACGGATAATACCCAATTGTAGCATATAATCAAACTCGGCCCTAGCGATTTTGAGCTTATCTGGTGCTAGTCTCCTGGGTTTTGCAAACACCGGTGCACCTTCGGTTTTGATAGTGTGACTCACTTTTAGTTTGTCTTTAGAAGGCTGTGGGTTTGGTTTAGTTAAGTTTGGAAATTCCGCGAGTATATCTTGGAATTTCGCTGTTGTTACTCGGGGAGTTTGAATCAAGTTAAGAGAGCTGATGTGACTTTCTTTGCCTTTTGTGTAATACGAAGTTTCTTTTAGTGTTAATCGCCGTTTCTTGGTGTCTACTAGAAATTCGTATCTCTCTAGAAAGTCCATCCCCAGTATTGCCAGATCTAAGTCGGCTACCGTGAAAACCCAAGGGAATTGCCTCCTGAACCCCAAATCTAGGGTTAAAGTTTTCTGCCCAAATGTCGCAATTTTAGTTTTATTTGCAGCTTGAAGTGTAAATGGTGATGTTTCTCGACTAATCTCAGTTTTATTTTGAGGGATGATGCTAAGAGCAGCGCCAGTATCCACCAAGAAATTCAAGCCCGAGTTTCTGTCTCTAACATAAAACAAGCGACTGTTTAGGCGCCCCTCCTCAGTCGTCGCGACCTGGGGAGGGGTTACTCGTCGGGCTCACCAATTTCGTGCCTTGAAGTAACCCTCGTGCTATTGATAGAAGAAACCAGACAAGTAGTGAATAGGTCATTATTTCGATCTTAGCGCGGTGACAGTGGAGCATGGGATTATCTGTTCAGACAAACAAAGGCTCTCAACATTCAATATAAGATAATAGGGAATATAACGCTTATACAAAATAAGGAAGTGAATGAATACTTGAACAATACTGTTTTGACATATGCTTGGTTGTTTGGGGTCAACTCTTAACCAACCAACCTAAGCTGTTACAGCAGTACAAATTAGATCAGAAATACAAAATAACTCGAACGGTACAGCCTGTGCTATACTGTAGGAAGTTTCTCTGACGCGAAGTTGCATACTAAGCAACAACGGAAACAGTTAATACTAAATGGTACGATACCTGAGAATCAATAAAAGATCCCTAACAAGATGGGGTCAAATATCTATCTGCAGGGATTCCAGCAATTCTTCCAAGCAGACGGTCAGAAGGTTAACAGTCACACACTGAACCACGCCGTGACCTTGAGCTTAGTCAAACACGACCTTACTGACAATAGTCCGGCAACATGCAATAGAAAATTAGGTAACAAAAGATAAGTCTTTAATCAAAATCACATAATGAAGGCCCAGACGAGGAAGACTGAGGAACAAAAGGTGTGGTTTGATGAGATCTGAACAAAGGTTAAGATACACGACAAGAAGAAACAGATAAATGACAGTACTGTCCAACAAAATGCTGCAAATGGATTTTCATCGTTCTCTTTCCGTTACAGTCCTCCTTCCGGCTTTTTGTGCCACGGAACTAAGACGTTGATGGTATCATCGGTTACTGATCCGTAATTTGAGAAGAAGCCTATGTTCCAGATATTCCTAGTAGATGAGTATTATTAGTGGTGCTTGATTCACGCAACTCGTCCATTTTGTTTGGTAAACTCGCACCATTTGTATCTAGGCAGACAGTGTTTTTGATTTGAAATGCGTGAGCCGTCTCTTCTTGTTTGTCCAAATAATCCTGTTATGAATGGATAGACAAGGTACCCATACAGGGCTTTCTTAGTGTGTAGTTTCTGTTACATCTACGATTTTCTTTGATCTTAACAGTCTTTTTATGTGGAACGGCCAGCTCTAAATTGCTTTCGCACTTAATCCTTCTATTATGTAGCTCATCCGGTTGCATATAAAATCCAGTTGGTTACTAACGTCTTTTGTCTCGGAGTGCTTCGAAAGTGGCAGCCGCCATTTGAGATTATGTGAAAGATATGTTCATAAGCCGAGGTCCGGAATCCCTTTTCATCTTAGCTTATTGTACTACTTGTTTGGTGAACAAGTTCTTAAGCTTTAGGGTTTGGTATATGATCTCCTAATTTAGGGTGTCATAGTCTGCATAACCTAGGTCCGTGTTTTCTAGGACATCTTGCACGATGATGTTTCTTACGTGAAAGAGCGTCTCGCCAGATTACCCAAGATTTTCGAGTTCTCATCTATCGCTGTTTCATTTTAGATTCTCTTTTTCGCTTACTTTCACTACACAGCAGGGTTGACAGGTTCAACAGTTGGTGCTTCACTGGGATGAGTCTTAGTTTACCGCGCAAAGAGAATGGCATGATTTAGGAAATAAGGAAGTATAGATTTATTGATCGTTTAATGGAATTGAGATGTATAATCGTGCAACATTTATCTGAAAGTTTGATTATTGAGGCTGTAGATAAGGTAATAGTGAGAAAATTTCACCACTAGATCTGCCTGTAATTGTATTTCAGTTGTAGAAACCTTGGTCCCATAATAACAATTATTTGGATCGAATTGGATTGAACCTCGACTGCCACGGACGTGTACTATCTGAATTCAATTAAAATAAAATTAATTGAACCGTGTCGTGCATCACTGTGAAAGTGAATCTCAAGTTAATAGGGCTCAGCAAAATCTCCCTATGAGATGAGCATGCGGTGGCATATGTAAAGGTATATACGTATTCATGTTTATTAACAATCATGTGACTGATCTGATTTCACGTAGCTCAATAGATTATACACTCGTATGAACTTGTTATGTATGAAATAATCGCAACAGTTATGTATGTTTCAGTTACGTCTTCATGTAGTGTGGGTTTTAACGGGCTGAAACACTGACCGGTACTTTCTGAGTTTAGATGTTCGTCTAACTGCGTCGTACTAGCAGAAGGTTCGTTGCCCATGGCCTTATTTTCTAAATGTCTTCTGAGCCTCGTATAAAATGTTATTCTATTCAACCTACCATCCCTTCCTGATGATGGAGTTTTCCGTCACCTACACGAACACTCACAGACGTCGGAATAAAACGTCCGGGCTATGTTTGATGTTGGACGAATAAAGTCCCGATATAACTGTTTTCATGGCACCTCGTCTCACCGTAGATGTAGACTGTTCTCCCATCATCGCAGGCTGCATCACTACCAAAAGTGATGGAGTTATAAATCGCAAGGGAGAATGCGTGATGCTTTATGTCAGGGATCAATTTCGTACGCAATCGATCGTAACGGAGGCACAAGTTAGTTACATGAGAAGCTGCATTTTGTACAAATAAGTCTAGACACGGGTTAGTGACTGCACGACGAGCATAACGTAGTTCGTGCCATTTTAATATATATCTGTTCTTGGAGTAAGGCCGAGTGTTGTTTCATCATTGGAGATATATGTATATATATCGGTCGGATAGAGCTCGCAGCTTTGGTGAGGGTTTCGATAGCGACTTTTTATTAACCATTATTAGGTGTGCACTTGCACAATGTATTGCGAAACCGACATATATTGATTTGGAACATGATCTGTTATTGTTAGACCTTGTCCTGACACACCACTGTGAGAATATCATCGACGTTCAGCAATTCCCCACACTAGCGAATAGTGATCACGTCGTACTTTACTCTACGTTTCGGACATATGGTATACAATGTGTATCCACTCCACCTCGTTCCAATATCTGGAGGGCTAATGTTCTGGCAATCAGAGACCGTGCTGTCTCGACTGAGTTGTCGGTCGATGTGGATGGATTAATCGAAGACGAATGGAATAAGTTTAAGGCTGTCTTAGAGTCCGTAACATCACCGTTTATCCCATAATCAACAGGTAAACTGTCACATTGTCCTCCATGGATTAATAAAGTAACCTAAAATCTTTTGAAGCGTAGGAAACACTTTTGGGACTTATTCGTGTCAACGGGACACGACTAACTTAAATATGAATATCGAGAAATCCAAGATATATGTCAAAAGGCTATAGCAAGATGCCATGCAATTTACGAAAGACAGTTGACATAAGGTAGCCATATTTGTCCGAAACGGTTGTTTTCGTACGTTAAACATGAAGCTAAACGTGGTGATGGCATTGCTCTATTACTGTTATACGAAAATATAGATTTTCTGGCTGGATCAGATCTGACAAAAGCTGAAACTTTATCAAACTATTTCAGCGAAGTCTGCTCTATGTGTATTGTTTAAAATATTTGTCCAACTCATACCACTGATATACCAGCTATAGGACCTTTATATATGGATGAGGAAACTATTCTTCAATTGATCGCTAACTTTAGACCTTGTGAGACACCATGCCTTGATCGATTACATCCACGATTGCTGTCATTCCTCGAGGACATTATTTCAAGACTACTCGAGATGCTTCTCAACATGTCCCTTCCCCACACTTAACTCCTTAGAGATTGGAAAGATGCTATAGTCCACCTAATATTCAGAGACGATCAGAGACATATCGTACCCAAATACCGACCTGTCAGTCTAACCAGCATAATCGTTAAGTTACTAAGTCACACAGAATCGTGAAATCTGTTAACTCCTGAGCAATACGGGTTTTGAAACAAACATCCATGTGTGACCAACTTACTGCAAGAGAGGATGGACAGCAGCCCTGCGTATCTATGTAGTGTTCATAGGCTCGATGAAAGCTTTTGACAAGATTGCACACTTATGTCTTATGCAGAAATCCTCGAGCTTCGGAATAACAGGTGCTGTACAGGAATGAATAGGAAACATCTTATGTGACCACAGAAAGTGTTACGGGAGAACTGAGGAAATTTGGCTGATTAAAAAATTTATATTGGATATTGCAAATTTCACTGTGTTTTTGGATGTATTAGTTTTGTTCGAGTTCTGAACATATTTGTTTATATCATTATTTTTGGGCTTTTTGGTTTCTCTGTCTTTGTTTTGGTATTCGGGAGTTTTTGCCGTGGGAACATAAAAAATTGAAGAACGACGTTTGGATAGACTATTTGTAAATTGTCAATAAGCTTTGGCACCTAAATTGGAGATTGTTAATTTGGGTTGATAAATTGCAAATAGATCAGTATAGTGTACTTCAGTAACGGGAACGAGCACTAAAACTTGAACGTTATATATACAGAAAGAGAGTGACGGCTGATAGAACGCTATTTAAATAGAAGTCTGATATACCTCAAGGTAACATCTTAGATGCCTGAATCCTTCTCTCCACCAGCGAATTACCACTATTGCTTAAGTTGTCGTCACTGCTGTTTCCGGATGATGTCGAAATCTGGAGAACACTGAGAAGAAAGGCTGATAATTTTAATCTTCCAGCTGACCTAAACGAATTAGTTGGATGGTCTCGAGGGCGAGGCTTAGAAATCAACTTTAGAAGGAGTGTGCTCAGACACATCGGACACAGTACTAGTTATCATTATGATATAGACAGAAAATCTTCCATGATCGGGGTTCCGTTTTTTCATCGAGTAGTTAAAACTGGAACGCCTTGCTTAAACAAGTGTTATCAGCCGCATCAGTGAACATTTTCAAGTAAAAGCTGACCTTCAGTGAAAAGCAAACTGTTAACATTAACATAGGTTTGCCAACCTACTATTCTTATTACTGAAGATCGAAGAAATTTTGAAGCGGTTTATTTGAGGACTGTGCTACACGTGGTGGGTTTCAGATATTTATTGCAACCCTTCAGCAAGTCGATTATAATAGATATCTTTAGCAAAGTGTCCACAACCCACTTGTTGACGACGTATGATTATTTCGCGATTCTCGCCACGTTTATATTTCAATAAAGTAATTATTTTTTAAATATGATCTACATTATAGCTACGCCCAATTCGAGTGTGATATTTCAGCTTTAGCAACAACGTGTGTATTCAGCGGTATGGTTTTATCTTTTTAGCAAGATGATATAGGGTAGTGGTTTTGTGTGACAGCGTGGGTACAGCCCAGTCCCCCATTTCGGGGAATTTTCCAGTCCTTGGGAAATCTTGGGGTTTTTGTGCCAATTTCAACTAAAATAGAGAGATTTGGAAATATGACCAGTCGTAACTTCTTGGTTAGTTGGTCTTTTACTTCCTAGGGTTTAACTCAGAATGTAGTGTTGAACGATCATAATCTGAAATCTTGATTCAGTGGCTGAGATTAAAAATGAAGTGTTATGTGTGTGTAAGGAATTCAAATTATGATTTACAGTTGATGGTTAATGTTAGGAATTATATTTAGGGTTTTCATCACAAACTCACATAAGCTACAATGTCAAGAGTCTATTTGGCCAAATGGTTGGGTGAATTTCGCGCCGAAATTCGATACGTGTTATATTATACATCTCGCCTTTGCCTGATATTTAATGCATATGTAATTGGTTTTAACCGACACTTAAAGCAATGTACGAAACTAGCTAGCGTTTTCAATAATTTATGCCAAACTTATGCCATAAGATACCGAATAGGATTGACAAAACTGTGTTGTATTAAGTGACAGGGTAACGTTAGTTAACGTAAGCTTAAGATCACAGAACCTACTGTATATCCTAGATATAGGTGTATTCATTTGTGATGGCAATCATTATTTACCTTCAAAAACATCGTATATTAACTTCCTCAAAAATTGATTCAGTTATATCAGACACGCGACAGTTCTGTGGTCTTTTGAAAGCTTTAACAATGGAAATCATGTTACTGCCGTTGTTGATTGGTTATTTATTAGTCCAGCACATGACATTTAATATTTTCTGCATAAATCCAGATTTTTGCAACCAGTGAGGTATCTGAATAAATTACTACGTTGTCCTAAAGTCATTTTCCTCTAGCCAGGTTACTTATTCACACCTGACAAATTTTAAACTATTATTGGCTACTTCTTGTTTTCCCTGTTCAAAACCATACTAACTAGTCCATTCCTTACACTTTTAATATGTTGCCTCTATGATAACCCTTACTTTAAATTTGCTCGACATCATAGGCATTACGAAAATGACAAGACAATAGCGTCATATGTTCTGTTAAAAATGAGTTGTAGTCGGTCATAATCAACTTAGAGATATAACCTAGATAAATCTGACCGTTTTGGAAAACAGTTAATATTAAAGTATTTAAGCCATTCAATCATTTATAAATAGAATCAAAATATCCCGTGGACCTAATGTTTGTAGATAGCACAACTTTTTTCTCATTGCAAAACATGTACTATTCAGAATACAGATAACCCATTTTCTCAGTGTCGGTAGTGCTTTCATTTTCTAAACTATTACTGTTTTTGTAATCTATTTGTCAGTGCCGATTTTACTTTGCGGGTGCTCATCCATTTATTTTATTGTTAGGACTAGGATAATTTTATGTTTCAAACAACTGAAAGATATTTGTGGAATGCCCGGTTGACTTCCTGATTATCCACCTGGCTGGTGGAAAGCCCAGTTCTTCTGAACTTTAAATTGACTTGGAAAAATGCATACCACATAAGATAAATTTTTTTCATTTAGGGTAACATGATATTTCTGGTCCATTGAACGTTTATCAGCTGACTTGTTCTTAATTAATATCTGAGTAGTCTACATAGGTCATATATGTTGCTAGGTTGTAGTGTTTATCTTATATTTTTTTGATATCCATGTATACGCTCGTTATTTTATTCTCTTTCCTTTTATTTTCAGTCCTTTTTTATACATTATTCATGCATTTTTTAAAACTTATTTTCTAAACACCTCTACTCCATACCCAAAAATTTCTAACAAACTGCTTGACCATCTGGGTAGATTTCATGCAATTATTTCACTCTTGTTCATTTACGTTTGTTGTAATCTTACCAACCGAAGCGGTCTTATTGTTCAAAATAAACGGTTCTACTTGTAAAATCTGATGTGTAATTACCCAGAAATACGTATATGGGACAATTTTTTGTTTTCGAATTATCATGATAGGAATATTCACATTAAAATTTTAATGTTATATAACTAAAAATCTTGACTTTAACCCTTCTGTGATTTCCAAGTATTCATCATGGATAATCTTTGTTTATTTAGAATATAAATCCATGTAAGCTTGTTATATTTTCCAAAACACTGATTGTAAGTCTCTACCATTTAGTTACATATTTATGCTGTAGATATAAGCGTCCTTTTATGCTTGAAGACTTCTATCATTCAGTTGATTTTTGATGTAAAAATTAAACTCCGGTTACTCTATTTGTGTATGAAACCTAAGGAAGCAGTACGTATTTGTACTGTTCTTCATTCTTTTTATGTTCAATATATTCATTATTACTGTTAACTTGTTAAATTTGCTTTCGCTTCAGCAACTTTACTGAATTACTTGATATACGTTATGAACACGGAAGTGGGTAGATTAAATGCGTACAAAGAAAAAACTAAAGTTGATGGTGAAGAGCTAGTACTCAATGTCTTTCCAAAACGTGTATTTGAAATGGAAGACATATTAGCGTCGGATATGTTTTTTCTAGGTAAGTCTTGTGAATAATTTTTCCTCAGATAAATCAGCAATGTTTAGACATAAGATCTCTTAAAGATATTCATAAACACTTATCCCCAGATGTGAAGAGATATTCTTAATTTACTTGTGCGTATTGCTTTTGTGTGTGTTGGGATTTAAATAATTTCTGAGACTCTAAATCTTATCTTTAAAGCCTAGTCTTTACAATCACTCGTACTGTTGTTACTAACTCCGTTATTCTGACCTGACAATTTCATGTTTGAGCTAACGGTTTGTTGCAACTTGAACTGGTGTACATACGTACTGGGTTCTACATTGTGACTGACTGACTGACTCTGAAACCTTGAAGGTAAACGCTCCATGTACCATTTTAGGTAATGCAGATTAGTTCCATAGTCACTGACTTTTTATCATTCTGATTGTATATTGACCTCGTAATGTCAATATTTTCCCTCAGAATAGTGACTTTTATGTCGTTTCATGATTAGCTACGATATTAGATTGATTAACTAATTATCTGTTACCAACGACAAAACTTAGTAGCTCTATTTATTAACTCATAATATTCACGATTCTAAATGATAAATTATTATGATCGATGTTGATGGAGTTTAGTAAACGTCGTTTAATTACTTGTGGACACTTAAGAGGACTTCCTTTTAGTTTATTTCAACGATTGCACCTATTTTTGGATTCATCTAAACTTATACTGTTGTCACTAAATAATTATCAGTTTGTTCTATCGATTGCACAATTACAATGTATGCTTTTGTTTTCGACCTGAAATATGTGCTTTATATGTTGTGAGAGATCGATCAGTGATAGTCAGTTTGATATACTGAATTTTTACATTAAACTACAGAAGCAGTGAATTAGTGGTTAAAGCACTCCAGTTCCAAGCAACATATCGAGGGTTTAGATCCCGCTTCAACTTTAGTTTGAACGACCGGGTAGTTTCACTAGCCATTACACATTACTTCATGTTAACATAACGTATGAAGATAGCCTGTTATAAGCAATGCTACAATCTGACACAAATATGCATAGGTGACGTTACAAATTTTACTTGAGCATGATGATTATATTCGGTATGGGTTTGTAGAGATTGTTGGATTTCACTGAAATCACAAACCGATTCCAATTTAGACTATTGAAAGTCTGAAAGCACTAGATGGCCGTTTCGTTCTAGTATGGGGATGCTCAGCAGTGCATATGACTATAGTTTTATTGTATTTTTAATCTCAAGTGTAATTAGTTTTTTATTTAGATTTTCTTGTCATTATTAAATTATTCATCATTTGTTTAGAGGGAAAGTATGTCCATTCTGATGTGAATATACCTTATCCTATTAATCCACATAATTCGTTGCATCCTGGTGATGATATGGATTCTGGTTTAACCAATGCTACAGATAAACTGACCAATGATAAACAACAGTTTCCTAGTAAAGGTTCTTTTGTCTACTCCTTACCAAATGGTTCTGTGTCATATAATAAACATATCAAAGCTATGATAGAGGTCAGTGTCTATTTTGATGAATTTGACGTTTAAAATATGATACTCCCTGGTAATGTTTCAGACAGTTGTTTCTTTTTGACAAACTACACTCTGTCGCTATTTGTTATATCTCATGTATATCTGCTTGATTTAATTAAAAAGGAAATAAGCCTAGTCAATATAATCAGATACGCATATAGGGTTTAGTTATGTTGAATATCACTTTACATCATCACCATAATAGTAAATGAAAACAATGACGTGAAAAGAATCATGGGGTCAGTAGTCGTTAAAGTTTAAAAACACAAAAACTGAGTGATGAAGTACATCGGTCTGAAGATTCGAAGAAGTGAAACGTGGCTAAATTTTCATCAATATGTCCGATTTTGCTGAATATCGGCAAAAATCCTTTGCTACGGATTACAATTATCTCGTTGTGTTGAATATGAATGGGATCTCTAAACAAAACTTATGAGAAACCAATTCAACATCGTTTGGAGGTGAATTCAAGGTTAAATTTCAATACATTTTCATTACATTAATTATAGACTTTGACAAATGATTAATTAATTTATTTTGTGAAGAATTTAATCACATATTATCATCATTAACATTGATGAATAAAGTAGTAGAAGCTATAAGAATATCGACAATATCATTTTTCCATTGTCAGCGTTTATTAAAATAATATTTTTATTTAAAGTCCATTTGATTTTCTAGGTCAACTTTCCAAAATTTTAGATAACACTGAGACGTTCAATTAAATTTATCAACTCATAATAGGGTCCTACACTTTTTCAACACATTTTTAATTTCTTTTAACTGACAATAAATTTACATGATTTCCAATGTAAAGGGAAAATTTCATTTTGAAACTAATAATGGATAAAGGCATATAAAACTATTTAATATTAATAATCATCTTATGAGAAATACTACCGCCGGAATAAAAGTAAATATGGAATGGTTTGGTTTTTTGAAAAAGACTTCTGTCACAAGGATGCTAAACAAATATTGTTAATTTAAAAGTTATTTTCCATCTGAAATCGATACCGGTAGAACTGTATTTTATAACTTGAAAAAGTTGGCTTATAATTCATATTTGAACTTCGTTTCCTTGTACAGGACCTAGTGTCAGGGCATTTGATCGCTTTATCAGTAAATAAACATTGTATTCAGTTTTTTAAAAAAAACTGTATTTTATCAATCTGCACCTATCCATTACGGATTTTAAACTACTTTGCCAGTTGTTTATTTCAATGGAAAATATCAGCTACTCTGTAAAATGTAAGATACATTAAGATTCAGTAAGATTCATTAAAAAAATATCTATTACTGCATGCATTCAAATGACTCAAGAGCAGATTAAAGCACGTGTTTTGTATCTGTGTTTCAAATTGTTCACCTGAACGATAATGACGGGTAAACTTACCCCCATTTTCAGTAGTTCTAATTCTATATATATTTATTTACTAAGCTAAAAAAGCTCAACTTCAACTTAATTGTCAATGAGTGAGACTTCTTATCTGCTAGGTAGTGACAAAATCCAAGTTTTGTTCAGAAAATTTATTCTATCAACTAAAAGAAAGATTATATAGCAGACAACTTGAGTGTACATATTTATCTGCAACCCTATAGGGCTAGTGTAACAAAATTGCATCCTACATCATAAACAAACAACTAGGGTAACATCTTCCCTTTAAGTGAGACAAACGAGAAAGGCGATAAATTCAAATTCACATTAACTAAACTACAGGAGGGTAAAGTTTACAAGTTATTTCGGAGATCCATCATTACCCAACAGTGTCATGGATATTATTCTCTACACAATTGAGACATTTACGTTTTGATTTTTAAAAAATCGTAAGTTTCTAGCGGTTCAACTGTGGACTGTGATTTATAGTGACATGAAACTTTTATGGCATCCCACTATAATTCTTTATTTAATTCCTTCACATTTCAGTGATTGTATCGTTCTTAGTTCTTATTTTTCTACCTACAAGTAAGACCTTTAATCATGAGTAACGTAGAAGTTTTATGCCAATGGTTTCATACTCAGATTTGTTAGATATTTTTTTCACAGATTGAAATCATGAGTCAGTTGAAGCTAGACCACCATTGAAAACCTGGAAGCACTGGACGGCCGTTTCATCCTAGTATGGGACTCCTCAGCAGTGCGCATCCACGATCCCGCACCACGCAGGGCTCGAACCCAGGACCTACTGGCTTCGCGCGCGAGCACTTAACCATTAGACCACTGAGCCGGCATCCAACGGTGTTACTGTCTAACTTCAACCAATCCACAAAGTCGCGCCACCATATACCATTGTCTTCAGTGAGCTGATATCTCACAACAGACCTGGTTGTACTCCACTGGTAACGGCTTCCCACTAGAACTCCAGGAGTATCTCTTGAAGTCAGTCACTAGTGAGCAGATGATTATTATCAGAAGGGGTTTGTGGAGATTTTACAAATTTCAATATATCTTTCAACCAATAAGTCTGTAAAACACTTATGCTTTAGGCTAACATCAGAGATTCAAAGCTCATGAAATGAATTTAATATTTAATCTAACTAACCAGTTTTTATCATACTTCTACTTTCTAAGAAAACTAAACCATGTTTAACTCAACTTATGATTGAAGCTCAACTTGTTCGTTTATGGGTTCAATTTAATATACCACGAATTGAAGATGGAAATAATTTTGGTGTAGGAATACAAGAAGAGATTTTAGGTGAAGCATCGGTATCGAGAGGGATGCATGTACTTTCTTGGATCAAGTCACAAGGTTTGTTTATATTCCCTACTTTTTCAATTCTCCCATATATATGTAAAGGGGTTTTCTGGAGATTGGTTTAATTTGTAGGTAGTATTTGTTACAGATTGAGTACAGTTGGGATACAAGACAGCTGTTTCGTCCTAGTATGGGCCCCTCAGTCGTGTGCACTCACAACACCCCGAGAATCAAACTCAGGATCTTCAGGCTTTGTGGCGAACGTTCAACCATTAGGACCACTGGGTCAACATCCAGTGGTACATTTCTAGCCTCAATCAATATATCATATAGCATGACGATTGTCTAATGATGTTGGTAACACCGTCATTCCAGATATGTTTGAACCTCACTACTCACAAATCCTCACTAAACTCCGGGAATGTTTTGAAGTAAGTCACTGGTGAGCTGACTGTTATAGTTTGTTCAAAATGGATTTGTGGAGATCAGTTAAATTTGTAGGTAGTATTGGTCACAGATTGATCTGATTTTGGGTACTTCTGAAAGCTAGAGAGGATTGAACAAAATTTTCGTCCCGGTTTGAGGTAGTGCTCACTCATGACTACACAAAGGATCAATCCTCAGATTAGCATTGTCTAGATCGGTTTGTTATCATTGCTATCTGCAAATATATACATATATGTAGTGTGAGTGATTGTCATGGAGTGGTTTCGGCTGGAAAGGTATTCTAAACAAGGCAGTGGTGCACAGCTGTTTCATCCTGACTACTAGTATCCCACAGTAGTGCACACTTGCGATCCAACCCATCACTCCGTGATAAAGCAAATCTCCTCAGATGATCAGGCTGTATATTTATACACTCGATTTATAGGTTATATTTATTCATTACATGTTGAGAATATGAAATTGGGTTTCCTTCCTCGTTTATAGACTTCTTGCTTTTGGTTGTTGGAAATATTTCAATGATGCTGATATAAGAGGCAATAACAAACTAACCTACTCATTAAAAATCTTAGAAAAGTCTCTTCTTTAAAACCACTGTTTTCCTTTAGAAATTCCATTTTATTCTTGCCTTGTTCGAAATAAGCGTTTAATATCTCATGAAAACTGACGCTTCTTCTATGATCTAGTTTTAAAGCATATTTATATGTTGAAAACTGGATGATGGAGTAGTTTTATTTGCTCTCATATATTAAAGGTACGACTCAAAGCCTCGAGTTATATATAAATATGTACGTGATTAATGAGTTTATTACATTAATCAGACATTAGTTAACTTTCTTATGAATAATAATCCTTTATATAACGGGGTGATTAATAGAAAATCTGAACTTTCGGAGATGTCTTATCTGAAGCTATTGCTTTGATTTTTGCTCTTGAGTTACTAAATGCTTAAATTATTGTATTTTTATGTTTTTCTGCTTGTAAGCTTTTTCCTAATTCATAAACTGTTACTATGTGCTGGAAAATGGCCTGAGAACAATGGACCAATGGGAGCTAAGGTTAACGGTGCAGGCTGTAGAATAAGTATTGGATACAAAATAGTAAAAACTATTGTTAGAATTGTGATCAGTGATTTTGACATAGGGTACCAATCAACGTACTCAAGCCATAACAGTATTCAGTTGATATTTATGCTTTGTTTCAATCATATCACTCTAACACAGGATACAGAATTGTTTTCTTATTCAGGTAGTTTTTTTTCAACTTGTATTTACTTCTGTGCTTATTGATACTTGAATCTTATTTCCTCTGTTTTATCCCTTATACACAGATATTATGCCTCAAGAGGGAAATTAGTGGGTAAAGTAGCAAAATATCCTCATATTGAAGACTATCGTGAATGTATCCGTGATATGGATGAGAAACAAGCAATAACAATGCGATATATTATCATGGAAATTCGTAATCACTATGTAAGCGTTATTGTCTATTTATTTATCATGCAAATAAAATCATTTTCATTTTTACTCATTAATACTATTGCTTCAAATAATTTAGAAAATATCAAGGTTCATTATTGCAAACTACTTGCGATTTATTCAATACATAATGATTATGGGTATCATTACCAAGGTTTGATTTGATAATTTTGAATAAACTGAACATTGGTTAGATTGTTATAAATAAGTTAATATATTTTTAATATCCCAATAAGTAGAAAAATTATATTTTGTGACGTTTCGTGACTCAGTGTAAGCCGCTTCTTCAGAGGATAAATAACCAAGTCGAAGTTAATCCAAGTTTAAACAGTACAAAGGAACAACACGAGAATTTTATGTGCGATCAATCAAAAAATAGGTCTGGACAAACCACCTAATAATCCTGTAGAACTGGATAGACTTCAAATCAAATCGGCAATAGCAGTTCACGCAATTTTCAAGAACGACTAAATCGATTTACATATTGATTATCTCTGACTTTAGTGGAACTTTCTTTTCACGTCAGTCTCATGAATGTCTCTTCTGGTTATTCATTAAAAAGGACTAAATTTGCGTCGTTCTAGTGGTTTGTACCAAAGAAAAATATCATTCGTTAAATATGGGTGAATAATACGGCTATTTTCTTACTGTGGAGTAAAATCTGTTTTTATTTCAGACTTCAATGTTTTCATTCTGTATAAATGTTGTTAGACTGTGTTCCGTCTATCTAATTTAATTTGTTTGCGTCTAGAAACTTGTTTACAGTTATTTGTCAGTGCCTCCAAAAAAACGGAGTTTTAATCTGGTTTCTTAAAAGTACAAGTTAACTAATCACAAAGTAAATGTCTAACATTGACAATTAATTGTTCTTTCAATGTATTTCTAAGTGAATAGTTGTTTCGTATATAACATGTATTTGTCATTCGGTCGATTCATTTTTGTAAAATACTTTGTCGAAGATGTACCTTTTATTCAGTGTCTAACTTTCAGTATTATCCAGTGATTAGATGTTTTTGTAAAGTATGAAAAACATATATCTTCATCTAATTTTTTTCAATTAGAAAACATCTAAACACCCTGTAGCTAAGATTGGCGAGTATGTTTATTGTGAATTCAAAAGTTACAAAGTCAAGGTAGAATCTTCTTTTATTAACATATGTATTCAGGTATAAACCGGACTTGTAAAATGTGTTAAACTCGAGAGTTGATAGAAAATTCAATAATTGCTTAATATTATTTAATTTATTAGAGATTTCTAACCAAATTAATGATTATCAATTGAAGGTTGCTTACGACATGAGAAAGTTTTTCATTCAAGAGTGATGACGTAGATTTATTTTAATATATCATGCATCAATATATAATAGCCTATTTTTTCTACTGTTTTAAAATTTGCAGGCCACCTTGCATGATATAATAATAAAAAATCTGGATCGTATAAAAATGCCTCGTTCCAATAATGCGATCAATATGTACTAATTGACGAAACCCAGATTTAGTTATGTGTTTGCTCACATTATGAGATTTTGATTGTATGTAAATACATACGTTTGAAACGTATTTGAAAGCTTTTGTTTCTATATGCTGTTTCTGCTTGCGATCTTTATTTGTAACCTGAAACGATGATCATACACACGTATTTATACAACTTGTAAGACGAAGGCAGTTTCAGCATTTAACATTTCCGTTTGCATATCAATTCTAACAAACCGTCTCATTCTTCAAGTTTCGTAAAATCGCTTTTCACTAATAAATAATTCACTTACAAAGGCAAAACATTTATCTTAATGTTAAGCAATCCATCCTAATTGCGGCTTAACTGTGGGTTCCATAAATGGCTGAACATGGTGTGTTGTCAGATTTGCTGTCTCTTTGTGGGATACCGTTTAGCATATTTTCAATTTAAAATTAGGGGATGCAATGGTAGCTAGCTATATGGTCTATACTTTTAACCCACTATAAACTAACTTCACTATTATGATTCCTGTGGTTATAAAAAATCCAGGTGCTCTTCGGAGCTCCATATTAGTTGCTTTGTAATGAAAAGAATTGCAGTCGTTTGATACAACAACAGTTTCTTACCCACTGGTTGACTGATTAGGTTTGAGGACAAGCGACTTGTCACCAGCTGCAAAATGGCTGATTTCCAGATTGTCTGGATAAATTGATGGTCATGAACGATTGCTACAGTACAAGGTTCACATCTACGCAAAGCTATTTAATTTGGCCGGATATGATTGATCATACTATAATCTTGATTTTGCTCCACAATAACTGCCTTTCTTAAGGCAGATACCTTAGGGGTCGACATAGCGGTCATGTAGGTCCTATGATTTGGCTAAAATTAGCATCTCTGGATTTTTACTGTATTCCAGTGTTTTGAAAACTTTTGGAATTAAGATGGTGATTTCAGTACATTGATTTGTTCAAACTTGCAGTCAAAAATTCCTCAGCGTATGCAGGCAGTAAGTAAAAGCCTGGGGATACATGGTCAGAAAACCGCTAAAAGATGTAGGTCACGCTTCTCAGTTCGAATGACTCAATAAATATTCCTAAAGAATACATAAGTTTCTTGATAGCTATTTTAGTAATGTAACCATAAGGCACAGAGATTTGGTCCCAACTCTAATTTCAGAAAAATTATTGGGGATTTTCCGTATAACAGCCAAGCTGTGGATACGACGCTGAGTAACTGCAGAGTGACGTTTTTTGTCCTTTATGACTACATGTAGGATACAAATCATCGCTACTTTTCTTAAGGTCTGTATGCAATGAAAGGGTCTACAGAATGTCAGGAATAAATTACTCTGAAATCAAGTGTGTGATCAAATATGTCGAATGATGTCAGGGGTATGCAGTGCTTAATAACACTGTCCTCCAGGACTTCTAATAAAATGGTCCTGGAAAATATTAACACAGAAGGCAAGAGTGAAGGGACTGGAAGATATATCTGGGAAATGAATTAGTGTTTAATCAATCTAGGTTTATTTATTTATTTGAACACATAAATATTGGTACAAGAGTGCGCCACACAAAACAATGAGAATTTAAGGGGAAGGAAAAAAGAGAATAATAACGAAGAGATTGATGTGAGGTGGTGTAATAATAATGGTAAAAATGGCGGAACAGACAGGTACAATCAAGAAATCTTTCAGATAAGGGAGACACAACCACTTTTTATGAAGAAAGTAAAAGAAGGTTACAGCAGGATCTCCACTGGCTTCTATTCTGAGCCATATCTTATCATGTCTCTACCCACTGTGTCGCACCATCTCTCGGACCCCAACCAGGAAGTCGTGAACAAACAACAGAGCCAGTCCTTTGCAGCTTTCTTTCATGCCACGACACCATGTCATGCACTGACCACCTCTCCGCTTCTTCCAACCAGTCCAGAGTCGGCAAATAATGCACGACGTGGAATTCTCTGGGACGACATTCGTAGAACATGTCCAAGCCACCGAAGTCGGTGTTTCAAGATGGTGACACCAATTGATTATCATCTCTGTGCCCGAACACACGATGCCGAACCTCTGCATTACTGACATGGTGTTGCCACTGATGTCAGCAATCCTTCGGAGACAACGATGATCGAACACAGAGAGTCGTCTAACGTCCTCAACTCGGAAAGGCCAGGTTTCACAAGCATAGAGCAAAACTGCTCTCACCGACGCGTTGTAGATCCGGCATTTTACAGCCAGACTAACATCACGAAGGCGCCAAAGGGGGCCCAGATTGGCATAAGCCGCTCTGGCTTTCACTATACGTGCATTGATCTCATCACTCACACCCCCACCAGCACTTATGCAGCTACCCAGATACACGAACTCCTCGACTACGTCTATCTGCTCACCATCCAGGGTGAGTACAGGATTAGATTCCTGCCAGTCTTGTAGAAGTACTTTGCACTTCGAAGGTGCAAAGCACATACCATACCTACGGACACTGATTGCCAACTGATTAAGTGTGGATTGCATGCCTTTGGCATTATCGCACAGTAAGACAATATCGTCCGCATACTCAAGGTCGAGAAGTCTTTCTCCAGGCAACAGATCCACACCACCATTACTTACATCCATCAGAGCTGTTTCCAGAATGTCATCGATGGCAAAGTTGAAGAGGAATGGTGAGATTGGGCAACCCTGCCTAACCCCACTGCTCGAATGGAACAATGGAGAGAGGTGGTTGTATGCCCTCACTCTGCCTGAGGTGTTTTTATATAGGGCTTTTAGGATGTTAATAAACTTCTCAGGCACACCCTTCTTCAATAGACAATCCCAGAGAACAGTCCTATCCAACGAATCGAAGGCAGCCCTGATGTCAAGAAACACTACGATTGTTGGCCTTTGAAAGTATGGCGGTGTTCTAACATTTGGCGGAGGGTGAAGATATGATCAATACATCCTCGACTGGAACGAAACCCAGCCTGCTCCTCGCGAGTCAATCTTTCTCGGGTTTTGAAAAACCTACGAAGTATGACGGAAGCCAATAGTTTGTACGCAATCGGAAGTAGACTTATCCCCCGATAGTTGTTACAGGAACGACGTGAACCCTTTTTAAAGATAGGGACAACTATCGACTCATTTTATGACGTCGGTACACTCTCTAGTTCCCAGAACTTTGCAAACAGCACAGTCAGTTTCTGAACCAGAAAGTCACCACCATCTTTAAAAGGAGCCGGAGGTAAGTCATCTGGGCCAGATGATTTGCAGCGCTTCAAGAGTTGGAGTTCCTTGCGGACTTCCGCTTTATTGGGTGGATCAGTCGGAAATGGTGAACTCTCTATATTTATGGAATCTAAGTTTACCAGTCATCATAAGAGCTGCACTGCCCAGTGTACATAAACTCGACTTGATATGTAAGCTTGACAGAACGCCCCCCACTAGAGGTAAGTTTAGCAAAACTAGTGAGGTCAGGTTCAGCGTGGATGACCTACAATACTGTTTACTTCGGAAGTTTACTAACCGCTTAAATTTTTTTACTACTCATAGTTTTTCAAACGGTAGTTAGCTACATTTAATAAACGTAGACTGACATCTTGGTGCAGTGTGATGTGTTAAATTTCTGAATTCTCATAAATAACATCTTGGATAATGACTAGTTGATCTCACAATATTTGTTAAGTTTCGCACAAACGTATTATTCAACTGTATGTTCAAGCTCGATTGAACGTAAACTGCAACCAGAATGAAAATTTCCTCAAGTAGGTTGTGATGTTCCATATGTGTGTCTAAACATCCATTTTTGTTTTTCAACTAATGTACATTATTCGGCGTTTTTGCGCCTCTTCCTTTCACTTGGCTAATGGGCATTTTTGGGGATTTCCCTCAGTTATATGTAGATATCAACAATTTTCTGCAAATATGACCCTTTAGGTGATCCCCTTTTACCGTATTAAAAAATCAAACAAGACCAGATTTAAAGCTTAAAACGATACCTTCAGTGAGAGTGATGATTCTATATTCAATACTCACTAAGTGTACAAAAATGTTCGAACTTTTTTTTACATTGGATACATTGAGCAGCAAAGACTATTTACCACACTAATTTTCAGATTCTTAATTAGTCTTTGTCTGAGTATATCCGTTTCTAGGATGAATGAAGCGATGTACGGCCTAACGAAAATCCAGTGTGTCACTCTACGTAAAGCCGCCTTGGAATGACCCACAGGTCATCATGCACAATGTTTAGTTACCCAGTAACTGAAGACGTCTTCTTTTGACGGTCATTTCAAGTTGCGGCAAGTGGTCTAATTTTCACTCAAGTATCGGCAGCTAGGCCGAAATCTTAGTCACGTATATGATTACTAACAGGCCTCTATTTCCACTAGCTGCATCTGCCGTCGGTACGTTCGGCGTAGTTGTCTTTCTAAGCTTTAGTAGCAGTTACGTATTTTTCTTCATTTTTCAGACGCTTCATTCATGTGATACTGTGCTGTTAGCATCCAAATATTTCATTTTTAATTTCGTTATGAAAGCAATCTCTCAGTTAGCATTTCTATCCATTGAGTTCCCGGTAGTTCAATATTATTTTGCAAGCAACAAGAAGGAAGCTGAAGACTGCTTGTGATTTGTGTAATATCTGAGGCTTTTCTGTGATTATTCATACATCGATAGGTAGGTTTTTGTGGCCTCCGGAACTATTCTGAAGAGGAAGCGGCTGTAAGAGTCTGAAGAGCGAAAACTGTCATATAAAAGCTTCATAAGACCTCATTTGTTCAAAAACTTCTCATTCTTTCCTATTGGCAAACCACATCTTAGATATTTATTATGGAATGGTCAATTTAATCTTTGTAGATCGACCGGGTTTCTTCTATTAAGCACATACCTTTCAAGTAGTTCGTAAGAGTATCTGATGTGGACAGGTTATGTGTTACCTACCATTTTATTCTCCTCATTTATTCAATATGACCTTAGAGAATTTAGCACTTGAGCTTCTCCAACATTCTCTCCAAAATTCATCTCTCGACAGAAGTGCTTCGGATATGTATCATTGTGTTTAAGCACAATAAGTTGTAGGGTAGTACCAGGGGAGATTAGCGGACTCGGTTTAGGAGTTTCGTCAGTAACAATGAGTTTAAATAGTGTATATCAGAACGCATTGGAATTCGGAGAAATTTAGACTGGAATGAGATCTCAAACTAATGAGGTGAAAATGGAATGTACCACAAGAGCTATGCCTGCATTCACAACGTGCTTAATCGACCGGCCTCAGCTAGTAGTGTCCGTTAGAAATAACACGGCAGGAATTGGTGCAGTATGTCTATAATACCCTCTTTTTTCAAATTTACTTACAAATACATTGACAACTATATTTTGGAGATCTAGGCAATTTGTAAGCACTGAATTAAGATTCATGAATTCATTATGAGTAATTTATATTGCATTTCTATTCATTATTATCATTACAGTTAGTCACGAGAATACATGAACAATTAATAAGTAAGGGATAAACAGATTTCCTACAGGAAGTAAGGTCAAGTTGTATTTGGTTGGGTTAACCAACGTCTAAATGATTAATGTATTAGGTCCTGAATTTTCTGCAAGCTCGACCAGAGCCGTCTTTTAAAAATGACCCATGCGTTGTGGTTTCGCTAGTAAATAATACTCCGTGGTATGTTTTTGACTGCGATCATAAATCAATCGAGGTTAGGCCGCCATTAAGAAACTGGAACCACTGGACTACCGTTCTATCCTAGTATTGGACGTTTCAGCAGTGCGCATTCGCAACCATGCATGCGATATTGCGGTCTTGCACGCGAAAGTTTAACATCTAAAACATTGAGCCAGCATCCAACGGCGCTAATGTCTAAATTTAACCAATCCACTAAATTGCACGACCATCTTCGATTGACCTTGATGGGAAACGCCTCACAACCGGCACGAAATAGCTCTACTAGTTATAGATTCTCTTTAGGACTCTGAAAATTATTTTTTGAAGCTGGTCACCAGTGAGCACATGATATGTGTCTACAAATATGGTGCTGTTAATTTTTGCACTTACTGGCAAGAAACCACTTCGTGAAAAAGAATAAACTATGTCAATGTTCATCAATATTCATTTCTAATTGGCTAGCTCACATTCATGTTATTAATGATAGAAGAACGCTCACTTCTGCGCCAGTGTTTACAAAGTAGCGATCTTTCGTAATCACGTCAGTGATGTACATCACTGCCATACTCGCCGGCTACAGTTGCCGTTTATGTGTAAGGGTTGGGAAGTTTTCCAAAGCATCTTTCACGTTGAAAGGTTCGGAACTTAAGAAACTTCAGGGTTTTTTTACAAGTTCTAGAAGATTTCCTTGTGTACTGTGGTATCAACATCAGCCGAGGTTATTTACCTCTCGTAACCTAGAGACAGATGTTTTACATGAAGAGCCGCTTCAAGAAGTTTCAGAGCGTCTATGATTATGATGAATATTAAGATAACGAGTGAGAGTATGACGGAGTTTCGTAACGTCATTTTTTGTAGTGTGAGATTTTACTTTGACAGAATAAACCTCTGAGACATGGGTTCCGCTGATCTCCAGAATCAGATCGGCAGATGTAGCCAGTCCGTCTATGGTGCTATTTCGAAACGAGATAAGGACTTCCTGCACCTGTTGAGGAGGCTTTGACAAGAAAAGCTGTCTAAACAGGCCCTCGCTAAATGTCCGTTAACCAGTGAGCTCTCGCATAGGTAGCAACTCTTCTGTTTCTGAGCCATGTTGCAGTTCGATGTTTGGGGAAAGTTGGTTTAACTTTTGTCGGTTAGATCCCCAAGTTTAAGGATAGCCTTCTTTGTAGTGTCGTAAGGTCCCGCAAAATCACTAGTAAACATACTATATGTGACGTAACTTTTAATATTTCATAACAGTGTCTCCACAGCTGGCTAGTAGTTGCAAGAAAAGCACAGCAGGACGTAACCACTCGTGATCTGGTGCTAATGAGTGCCATTCAGCACATTCAGCTTATGTGTGCCCAGTGAAACTGATGAGGTCAGTATCAATGTTGAAGACTTAGAGAACTATTTATTTTGGGGATTTATTTACCGCTACATTTTTTAATATTAAGTTTCCGAATTTAATCAAGCGTTTTCTGACTTTTACTTCAAGATAAACGTAACTAATGTTAGTTTTTGCCTCTCGTAAGTAAGTTTCGGTGAAATGAATAGAATAATCCACTGAACAACATGGCATGCTGTCCAAATGTCTTCTTATTGTTTGTTTAAGTACTTGCATTTAGAGGGTATTTGGTATTTTGTTAACACCAAGAAAATTGGTAATAACGCTTGTGTGCTTCATATTGAATGGTTTTGGATACTTTTATACCTCAAGTTTTTACAGTAATTTTTTGACTGTTTGAAATTCTCGAATTATCCACTAAAAGAGACGAATTGTAATCTTGCAATATTGAAATGGGCGTGCCTGACATCTATCGAATGTAAATTACAATCCTTTTCTATAGGAATCAGTAGCTCTTGCATTTTAAAAAAATTTGACTGTCGAGTGGTGCTACTATCCGATTTCTGGATGTCATCATGCCTTATTTGAATGGTGAACCTTTCGTTAAACGGCAGCCACCAAGTGATCTCTCATTAGACGAAGAGTTATTTTTCCTGCCCACTACGTTGGAAGTTTTTCGTGACTACGAGTAAGTTGATGCCTCTTTTGCATTATTTAACTAAATCCTAGTGTTTTAAAGTATTAGTACTGTTACTGTCATGCCATTAGTGTTTTTAATGCATCTCACAAGATTTGTATACAACATTTGAAACGATTAATCAGAAATAAGTACCTAAGCATTTGACTACTCTGGTTGTAAAGAATAATAGTTATGTATTCAGATGTTTGGAATGCTCCAAAAGTCTGATTTCCAGTTAGTAGTATTTTTTCTATACATTTTCATTGTGAGGTGCCACAGTGCTTAATGTCGGTTCAAAATGTTTACTTGTCTCTTTTTTTACTGAAGTGAGTATGATTTCGCGTGTGTGACTTTATTTGTTTGACATTCGAAGTATCTCAGATGTATATCCGAGGTTAATTGGGTTTCTAAACACGAAGGATTTCACTACAATTCGACTCACTTTCCTTTTAAATATGGATTACGTCATATGTCAGAGAATATGATTACGGTTACTATTTAGAATTCAACGTGTGTGGGTGAATTGTAACGAGCCTCCTGCAATTCAATGTCAAGTAATGCATTACAACTCATCCACAAAAGCTGTTTGTTACTCATTATGACTCCATCAGGCAGTTCGTGAACTACTAGATTGATAGCTCAAATCTCACCACACTTACCATATACATCGAGATAGTGTCATTTAGAAGTTCTTGGAAGCACTGAAGTAGTCCTAGAATGGTGTATAAGAGGTGCTAATTTACTATCAGGTTTACTAATAGGATACTATGAACTTCTCCGAGGTTGTTTTCTGATCAGCCTGTTCATAGGTTGGTTTGGGTGTTTTCGGCTTTCTGTGGTGGCTCACATAGTCCTGGTTATCTCATTGACAGCATACGATGTATCGAATTCAAGTAAATGAGCTTATGCTCGGTGAAAGTTTCATTAAAACTAATATAATAATGATTTATCCTATCATCAATGCCTTTAGACTGCTTTTAAACAGGTGGCTTATTGATAATTATACGACACTCACCAAGTATAGGTTTGTGTACTTCGCTTTGAACCACTTCTGTGAGTGCTGGTTATTTTAAACGGATGCCTATACTGAAGTAGGAGCGGAGCTCGGGCCTGTAACCTGTTGGATAAAAACTGGGTCTGTTTAACTGTTAAACCACCTCTCTGGAGGAGGTTTCTAGTGTCTTGTTCTTTGGACTTGATAGTCTAGTCGCTCTGAAAGACAATGAAATTTTCATAATTGAGCCACCTAACTCAGAGAACATATCACCTTTTTAGTTGTCCTTGTTAGAATTTACCGCTTTGGCTTTTGATTTTCGTAGAATTACTTCTAATTTTTAATTTCGCCGTTTTCTCATGGTATGATATTCTATTACATCTATAAGTTGATATGTAAACCTTATTTAGTTTGGATGGATATAGATTTGCAAATTTATAGTAGTAATATTAGTTATTGGTTACTGTTTGTTTACATGGTCATGATCTTTATGCAGTGATTATGACTGCTATTTAGGTTTATTAGTCTATGTTTGAAATTTCTGACTTTTCAGTGACTATTTCGAACGTACAATTCTTGTAAATAGTCTAACATGGACTTGTTCAGTGTGTAATAGAGGACCTTCCACTTACAAAGAAGCACTGGCATGTGAGCGTGGAGACTATCGGCAATTGAACGCCTTTGATAATGCTCTGGCTTCTGCATTGCTGTATATTATTGGAGGTGCACGGAAACGAAGGCTCCCAGAACTTGTTGAACTAATATGTGGATTTGCAAGTAGTCGATTTTTCGTTGGTGAAGAGATTGAATTTCAGACTGCAGATTCGAAGTAAGTTTTATGGTGTCTCTGGATACTTCGTAATATGTCCAATATTTTTCTTAGGATTTTTGGATGTAGCAGAAATGATTCGTAAACCGAACGACTCCATAATCATGTTTGACCACATGCCCAATATAACATACATCAAGATGTTCCTTAGATGTTAGAGATTCGTAATTCAAGAAAACGACTTCAATAGTGTTTCATTCTCCCATATACATACTATAAATATTGAAATACTTAGACCATCCGTTGCAGATCCAACAGCAAAAGGACTGGATCCTTATTCGTGTTCTATTGACAAGTTTTCTCAATTAATACATTAGAATTTTGTGGTTCATGTCATACTTCCACTCAGGTTTTACTGCAGATAGATTGAACTTGTAAAAAGCTAAATACATGGCCTACAATAACATGACACCGATATTAACCAGTTTTCGGTTTTAGAGGCTCCTCGTTCATTAACCTTCACTTGGTGTGTTACGTTAATTAATTCAGCCCAAGATTAGTCATTATACAAGATTTTGTCATATATTATGCCATTTCGCGTTCGGAATCCTTTCGATTTTCACTTCATTTGTCCGCCAGGCTCATCAAGTATAGTATTATATACATGAATGTTTATCTTCTGTACAAAATTAATCATATTTGAAGCTAGTAAATGTGATATTTTAATTTTTTTAGTGTTCGGTCTCTTGGTATTATTGATCGTGTGGTCGTGTCACAGAGAAAAAGCCAGTTTGAGCATGTAAGTAATCTTTTCAAAAGGGATAACTTTATGGTCTTTACGTATTCGATGCTTTCATAGTGAAATGAAAGCTGACTATAATTGGTATTTAGTCTGCTTTGCAAACGTTTGCCCATATGTTTCATAGTTTCACATTCTTTCTGTGGGTTATTAAGTTGTACAGTTCTTAATATTTCCTTACTTTTTTAAAGCCCAATTTTTCACGTAAGACTGAAGAATGCTTAAATTAAAGATCGAAATATCGTGACTGAGTATCGTTTCCGATTCAGCTTGGAATTTTTATTGTCTATGTAAATGGTGAAGTTTTTTTGTAATATACGTGACAGCCGTTTAGATATTAAACTTTTGACTAATTAGTTGTGGCTCTAAATAATTCTCTTCTTGCTTATGTTTAGACCATAAGGTAGATGTGGTCATCAGTTAAGTAAGTTCACATTTTGGTACTAAGTCAAACTGTTTTTTGAGTGTTAGAAAATAAATTCATTGATATCGAAGTCAAGTAAAATTGGCAGTCAAAGGTCATTAGACTCAAATATACCAAATTAAGGTTGAATTTAACTATGACACACTTCAAATATAAATATAGTGCAATAGATATGAATATATTTAAGGTGATGAAAACATACCTTTAGTAGTGACTATTTCTTCGAGGAAATCCACGGAATATACAACATAGTTTCAGGTTAGTTAAAGTAAACTAAATAAGGTAAGTTGATGGCCCAACTAGACGAGTTCCTGCAAGTGAAATAATACCGTTAGAACAGGAATTCTACTTAGTTAGTCCTTCACAAATGGGTATGCACTAAAATAATGATAACAGTTTATAAATACCTTAAAGATGACAAAACTTTAGAAGAATGTCAATGATCCGTTGAGATAAAGGGACATCATTTAACTGCTAATATGACGGAAAAGTACTATCATTTTATCAGGTCAGCTTATAAGTAAAAGATTGTTACACTAGATAAATCTACATGGTGGATGAATAGCATATAATCAACAGAAGTCCTGTGTCCTTTTATACCCCTTACTTTATTGATATCACTAATCTTATTTAATGACACTAATCCGTATGGAAAATATGATATTCTACTCTGATATTAACCCTTATATTTAAGAAAAACTCGTAATTCCGCAACCTTTGAATCTCAACTGAAAAGACTATATTTAGTAATAATTTTCATCATTTGTCTCTTGCATTTTCTATGGTAATGCACTCTTAGTCATGAATAATTGTATTCATCTAGTTGTAATAAATATATCTTTACTGCTCACATATCTGCTTTTTCTAACAGAGTGGATTATCGATGGATCCAAATGTTCAGAAGCCTGCCTTTCCTGATGCATTGAAACTTCATTACTGTGTAAGGGAGCATAAAAAGTCTGATAATGTAAACCGTATCGCCTCAAGTGTTTTGGTACCTGGATCTATTATTAATCGTCGCAGTCGTAACGTACTGGCTAGGGATCACATTAAGTTCTTCATTCGCCACACGTGCGAATTAGAAACGGTGTTTTCACACCCAAAGTGAGTTTTTAAATCTCTGCTGATTTATTCTGTTGTAAGTTTCAGGTGCTAGTGGTTCCAATCATTTTTATAGATGCCGTGTTTCGTTTTTTATATAATCACTACTGTTGTTTGACTGTACCGGATCAATTCGTTACGATTAATAGATAGATTGCGATTCTCGAAAAAATTCTTACAAAATAAGAGTGGTGACTGGTGGGGCACCGAGTGTGGACATACAGAAGCTTCCTGTTCTTTCACCTAAAATCTTGGGGCAGTTAATTTACTTTATGTTAATACTTTGATTAGTATTTCACCAAATAAGAATGGTTGTCATTAAGATATTCACTGTTATCCTTTAAGTTTTCCATACTTTCATGTTTTACATTTTTATGCTTATGTCTTGCAATAAGGTTTACTATCTAACTGAACGATTCAGACTTTAAAAGCTCTGTTTTATTTACTGTTATTTTTGGTCTCTCTGGAAGTATTTTAGGGATTCTTTTATCTTTATTACTGTTTATTCAATAATTGTCACTATTCTACCTTGATATTTTGGATATCACCGAAACCATATACTATCTTATTTATTTGTTTGGAGAACTATAATTTATGGACGAATCAACCACACTTAAGAAAGCGGCCGTTAAATTTTCGCGCGAAATTCATGTACCGATATAGTTAAATAGCATTCTGACACTAGGTGATATCAGTTCTTGATGAAAACTTACTCCGATTCCCAACCCTTACTCTTAACTTTAGCCCTAAATCTTGATTCGTACTAATTCATAGCCCTAGCTGTCGGAATTCTTCAAACCACTTTAGTGTCCTGTGAAGGTCGTTCATAGATTATAGTCACGGCCGTTTATTCCGTTTCGTGTTTTACAAGACAAGTTTTCACACCTTTAAACGTGTTTGGAACTGTTATATAATGGGTGGAATATGGTAAATTCAGTGTTTCTAAGTTCACAATTGAGTTAAAGTTTCAGTTTGTTAATGAGCGATAGTATCACATTTAATCATGTATTAATCTTGTGCTGTACAAAAAATATAATCCATGTTTGTGAGCCTTATATAGTCTTGAGTACTACTGTTACGGTTCTTAGTAGCTGACATGAATTTACCATTTTCATTTTAACATTTCCAATTTATATGATACACACTTATGATAGCAAATTCTTTATGCTAGAAGAAATATCTACATTCACGGGATCTAATAAAAGGAAATTACTAAAAGTTTGTTGAAATCGTCAGTTGCATTTCGAGACTTAACTGGTCAGTCACTTCCACCTTGTACAAACTAGGAACTGACCGTATCGGGTTGCTCACTTACTAGTGCTTTGTAAAAATCATTGTGAGCCTCTATCAAGCTAATCCTGTTACTTATTTTTTTCAAAAAAAAACGTGAGTCTAGTACTTCATTTAATTATCACGATGGCAATACAACTGATTGTTTCATGTGATATAAAATTACTTATAACCTAATAATCAATGTTAGTTATTAGGCCTCTAGATGTACTGACACGAAGGATCGGGAGAGTCAGGTTTGTTTCTCGAAACCTTTCCATACAACCATTCGTTTTTAGCATCTGACAGGGAAAGTCTTACTCCCTTCATACAGTAAGGTCTGTAACTTATGGAATGCCACTAGTTACTAGGTGTAAATGACATACTCCCAGATCTTTTAGAGACGGTAGTGAGCTTATGGTTAGGGTGCCCCCGAATGCCCCGGTACGGCCGAGAGTGAGGAGGGTCCGCTCTCCCTCTCGAAATGCTCTCACATGGCCACGCGTATATAGCCTCTGCTAGGGAAGTCCTACTCACTGCCTTCCCGTGGCGGGGGTGTTGTTTACGGAATTGAGAGGACGAAAAGCGAATATCCGGCGCTTTAACCGGATTAGTTGACCCGGAGAGTCCACCTAGGGGAGTTGTAAAACCCTGATTCCAAACCAATGGTGCACATAGGCTTCAGAATCCTGAGGAAACAAATGTCGTATGAACCAATCGTTGGTCACCGGCTACTATGGGACTGCATCTCCTTATATTGTCCCAGTGCCTTGTGGATCAGACCTTTAGGTTTGGTCACTTGGGCAGTATCCCAGCCTTTACACAAGTCAAATGAGATTTGTGTGGCGCATATGTTTCTGGTGCCCCCTTATACCAGTATTTATGTTCAAATAATAATAATAATAATAATAATAATAATAATGGTTAGGGAACTGAATGAGCTGTTTGGAAGTGTTTAGGACAGATAAATTCCACTTTAGAATAGACAAGAATACTTCTCTTGATGCACCATCAATAAGCATATACAAGCCTATTTTCAAATATTTTTATTGTCCCATAATAGTGGTGCGAGCAGTATTATTCGTTTACTTTAAAACTTCGAATCATGTAATTCTAGTAGTTCCTTAGTTCTCAGTTTCAAATGGTATGACTATATCGCTTTTATCGAAACAGATTAACTGATGATTATGTAATTACACTTGTTTCACAATACTACTTTTGAATACTTAGGTTTCGATTTTGCAACGTTATAAGTTACATCCGTATGGACCTGTGACATGGGCTAAACTATTTCTGCCACCAGAACCTTGTTGGTCTGAACTGACGCCTGCTCTTCCATGTGAGTTTTAAGGTGGTTTTTTTATGTACCGCGTTAATAGTATATAGTTGGTTTACCGGTTACTTTTCATGATGATGCTATTTGGCCGATTAGCCGAAAGAGTATCTTAAAGAATATTTTTCAAACCAGCTTTTGTTATCGCAATAATTACAAATCAACTTATTCACTCAATATTTAGGATACCGATGAATTAATTTTAGAAGGTTAATTAACATTCAGGGTTGTTTGTGATCCAGTTTTGTATCTGTAATATGGTTTTTCAGAAAAGAGATTATAATCCTTTAGTCATTTTTGCGTTTACTTTTCTCAAATCATTGGTACTATTAAGTTCTGGGCTTACAAATATTCATATTACTTTTCATTTAATTTTTGGTCAGCATAGAGTTTAAGGTTCATGTAAACATAATGACCATCAGATACTTCGATGTCTAATTTTGCATACAATTTAGAGTATCTTTGGCGATATAACTGTTAGAGGACAGATAAATAGCTTTAAGTAGATCCTTTTTTGTCTGAATTCCGTCTGTTATTCATCAGACGTGCTCAAATGTTATTGTTCTAGATATTTCCTTGAATCTTCTAGGATTTCATTAAGTGTATATTTGGACTATTGGACTTTTCACAGCAATTTCATAAAAAACTTTAGTTATTCGTTGTTTAAATAATCTTTTTTCTGTTCCGCACTACTCATATTTTTTTAATCTTGTAGTACAGGTGATTTAAATTCGTTAGCTGCAAAATGTTTCTATTGAATTTGTCATATTACATACTTTGTGATAGACAAATCATCTCTGATTTTTGTGGGAAACTGCTTAATAACTCACTATTATTTCTAAGCCAGTTAAATGTGTAAAGTCTAACGAAAAGAACCAAATAGTTGATTATGTTGAGGATATTATTGAATAGTTACAATGTTTTAATCATACTATATGAATTCTAAAAAGATACGCAACTTATTCAAAGGAGACAAATATTCTGAGTATTTTTGTTGTAAGTTATGGGTTCCGTTTATCTATGATCTTATACAATCCAAAGGTAATGGAATATTTAAATATGAATGCATCTTCAGAACTCAAGACATGAATTATGTGTTGCTCCACAATATGAATCGCAATGTATTTCTAGTTTTAAAATTTGTGTCAGTGAATTGTTTATTGGTGATTTTTCTTTTTACTTTTGTCACTATCAGTTGAAGCAGATACCCTTTTGTTTTGTAAAGTCTATGATTTTTGTGCATCATAGCTAAAGTGTGATACAACAGTAAAAGCGAATATCTTATTTTGTTAACAAATGTACGAAGTCAAAAGTTTCTATTGTGACATTTTTCTATCCACTCTTTTTCGTTGAGATTTTAAATAATTCAAATGATGCTTTCTTATCACATGAAATTTAAACTGTATTCTCAACTATCAATACACTTTTCTTATTAGCTCTCGAAGCATTGATATGGTATTTGTCTTTTCTTGTAGCCTCAATAATTCGGACTGTGAGCAATCTAACGAAGGAATCCAGTCGCCCTATATGCCAAGGTTTTAAAGTTATCGATACCTATACGGATGAATGGACCAGTCGAGGTCAAACGAAACCTTCTCCAAACGTTCCATGTTCCGTTGCCATTAATCATAACATGGCTTCATCAGGAGGAACAACCCGTGTACAGTATTTTGAACCCCTCGGTTTTCAGTCGCAAAAGTTCTTTATCAACAGACACATACACTAATGAGTGGTACACATGCAATGAATGGTCCCTATAGTGAGTGTTTTACTTAAAGCATTTAGTGATGTTTACCAATACTAATCCATATCCAAATTTATAATATATGTCTCATTCTCAAGCTTTCAGTCGATGAACAGTTATATATTGACTTTTTAAACTTTTTGTTCTTTGCATTCAATGAAGTTTGTTTTCATTTCATTCTAGTATTTTCACAAAATGGAAAGGATAATCAGTGCTATCAGTTATTTTCCAGTAGCTACTAGTTATGTAACTAAGCATATTTCCATTATTGTGGTGACACCTTAAACAACATCTTATCTTCATTCATTGGTTTCATGAGATATTTTGTATTTAAGTTCGGTTGTGAAGCTTGTGTTGTTATGTCGTTCTGAGTTAGCTACAAAGAATTATTAGTTTCGTTAGTTAGGTTAGATAACATTGAGTAGCGTGTCCAAAATCACTACAAGTAGTTGCTCTTTTGTCATCACACTAACATATCTTTACATAATTTTTGCGAGTTTCTTAGTTGGGTAGCCATTTTTCTGAAATAAGTATATTCACATTATTAATTAGTATTTTAATAATGCAACTCATTCGCCAACTACATATTCATGTATTGGCGTTTAAGCTACACTTTGTATGAGGGCGAATAGTACTGCTGTGGTGTATGCTACTTGTGTCGATAGACGTCAGTAGTATGTAATATCAGTCAGAAGTGGAATGCCTGGCAACCGAGGGCTAAGAATATCGAGTAAACGTGAACAGAAAGGGAAATAGAAAGAAACTGTGAAGTGCAAGAACCATACAAATTGTGAAGGGCAGTTGATGGATAATTCGCAAATGAAGTATTTAGAGTTTGGTTCTCATATTTTATGAAGATGATCTGTGATTTTGTATTAGAAAGTAAATCGGTTGTTTCCATCTGAGTTATTGTTCTTTACACTACTACCGCCTGGCTGCCCAAATCGAGTTAAAAGGGGATTGTAATTGAAAATCGATTACGTTAACCATTAAGCCACTGACTTAATAGCAGTCCACATATCCGCTTTTCGATAAGGAAAGTGATAAGATTATATGCATATATTTACTAATATGTTCATACTTATATTACATTTCTCTTAGATCAGTCATTACCGCAACCAGTTTTTGATATTTCACGTTCTTTAAAAGTTGAAAAAACTGAATTAGAAAAGGAGTGGAGTATGGTGCGTCGTCGTGATGATTTGGAATTATCGGATTTAGTGCCATTACCAGAATTCACTAAGGTAAACTATTCGTACTTTTTGGAAGTATTATACTTATTTCAATCAGGTGGAATTGATATTTACCTATTTCACTCATATTATTTCGCATTTTATTTGTAAACAGAACTTGCTTCTCTTGCCACTGTTTTCATATATTCTTATCGCACTGTTATCATTTTAGTTTCCTTCTTCACTTCCTCCGGATGATATTGGCTCAGCTCTACAGTTACTAGAGTTTCTTCATGTATTTGGTCCACACATTGGACTTGTTATCCCACAAATAGTTAAATGTACAGAAGTGATCGGTACGAATTTATCCCGTTCTACTCCTTCACTTACATTATCTACTTTGGAAAGTAGCCTTTTGGAATCGGATCCGTGTGGTCCTTTAGCCGATTTCTTTATAAGTATGCTGTCTACTATACGTAGGTTAGAAGTAAGTTTTTTCACTCTTAATCCATATTACTAACGCTTGTTTATTTCCTATTACCTATAACTTTACATAGTAATATGTCTTAATAAAATAAAATAACGTTATACTATCTATTATATCAAGAATTTATTGTTCTTCAACATACTGTTTATCGAGAAATGGAGTAAGGTTACAATACTATTCTTATGAGTTTCGTTTCTGAGTCATATTTGGCTGTAAGTCATCTTCAAGTTACATAATTTCGAGTGCTTTTAAGCTAGGATGGTAACTTAGAACAAAGATTTATTGTTTTACGGTATCAAGTTTTCTGATGGTTTCCTCATCTCCTGCATTTCAAGAATTAGGAAACGTGTATTGATGTAGGCATGTACGTCACTGAGTTATACTTAAAATGTGTCCGAGTAACTAAAGCTACTGTACATTTGCTGATAGTTTGATAAACCAAACTCCAATTATTCTTGTTTGCATTTAATAAAGGGTAGTACCTTGATCTCAATGTCTCGTACAAACCAGGAGATTGACAAATTTAGCCTGGAAATAATCTACGTTTCTTGATTTGTAGTGGAATAACTTTATATTCGTCTCTGTTTAATTCTTAAATATTTCATTCACTGGTCAGTTTGTAAACATGCACACTAGTTTATAGTTGCTTGTAACCTTAAAAATGCTATAGTAGCTAAATAAAAAGCGAATGGATATTGATCATGGTAAGATTATAGAGTGTAATAGTTTTTGATGGATTTTAAACCTTTAAAGTTTGCATTTAGATGACTAATCTCACGCAAATGAGATTTTAACTGCTTTTATTATCCAGCTGGACGCCAACTCTCGTCAACCAACTCCAAATGCTTCGGCAGCAACAATTGCTGCAGCGTCGGCTGTTGCTGCCGCTGAAGCTGGTTTTTCTGTGAATACACAAGTCTCCCATGTTTCTGGAATTGGAATTGATAATAATTCACTTTATGATGAGGATGCAGTCGGTCCTGAAGACAGTGCTGTCTTCCGTGTGCTACGGGATGCCGGAGCTTCAACTCGTTTATGTGAACTTATTGGTATACCAACCCAAGCAGCCACCATTGCTGCCGGTAAAGCTGCTGTGGCTGCTTCTGTTGCGTTGAACACAACAGGTGGAACTGCTGTAAAAGAGGATTCATCAGGGATTTCATCTTCAGTATTTCCAAATGCAATTAACCGAAGTTCTGTTACACGTGCTGCAACAACGGCAGTCATTGCTGGGGCTACATCTTTACCACCATTGGATCGTGCTGGTCTTTCTGAAGCACTTTGGTTACACATAACTAGTGCAGCTGCAAAAGGTGGGGGCTGGCGTGGTCAGATTTGGGGAGGTACTCGACTTCTGGATGACCCTTCCGTTATGCTGGCCAGAAACAATTCAGCTTTAGTTGAAAAGCTTAAAAAAGGTGGATAACTTTTGTTTCCATGATTATTGTTTCTAGTTTAATAATACTAAATTATATATACTCATAACTTTTAGTTGTACCATTCTTGGAAACGTTTGCGTAACGTTTCTTCTACAGTCAATTTTCATAAGTTGATTTTTTGTAAATGATTATAGTATAGATTTGTGCAGCCCCTGGAAAGTAATATGGAAGTGGATATTCTCTCGGCTAATATAACTATATTACAATTCTTAAGTTTAATGTTCCATTAAGTGCAAAAGGAACAGTTTAACTCATGCCATCGGTAGCTGACTATCGAAATAACGATTCGGGTATAAAATTTATGCTACGAGTTTAAATAAATCTGACCGGGTCTGCTTTACTTTAAGTAGGCTAGTTCATTGTCACATAATGTAGATAGTTTGGAACGCGGAATAGGAGGTAATACCTCGCATCATTTCGCATCTCTTTTAATTGGTCTCACTTGGATTTACTGTGCAATGTGGTTTTTTGTATCGTATGTCAGTCTTTTTATTTGGTGCTAAATAACTTCAAGTTCTCACTTAATTAGTATCCGAGTAAATTAAGTTTATTCTCGCAAGTGTCTCATGAGGTACTTCGCTTATACAGTCCAAATAGTCAAGGTTCTAACTAGGATTCTCAGGGATTCACAGCATTTCTTTGATTACTTTCCCTGATTTATCGTAAAATCTGTTCTGAATGTGTGTATGTGTGTATGAAGATCACCGACGAACAGTTGATACTATTAGTTGTTTGAATAATCATTTAATCAATCCACACGTTATTAATTGCTTTTAAGCGTAAATTCAAATATTTGAAAATGTTTACTTAAACAGATAGACTTTATAATAAATTAGCGAAGTGCTCAATAAACCTCATATTAATCATATTGGCTTAATATAATGTCGACTCACCTATTTGTAAATTTGTTGTGTTCTACAATAGTTACGTCATTTCAAATAGTCTAAAAATAACACTTTTGGAAGAGTGACATAAAATATTTTTAGTTCACTTTTGTGAATTCATATTTGGACACATTTGTCTTTCTAACTAATTAAAAAAAATTCCTAGTTATTGTTTTTCTTTGTTGTGATTAAACTAAAGGTGTAAAGTAAAACTCAAAGAATATTATTGTCAGATGAAGTTTACTACTTATCTGCATTCTTAGGTAATTATAGGGTACAACTTTAAGTCATTGTTGATAGTTTGCAGCAATTACTACTGTTTGTTTAATTTAGTATTCAGTATTAACCCAATATTTGTCTCTATGATCTGTCAGCAAGTAGAATCTGTTCTACAACTTCATTTTTAATTGTCCATTAATTCTACTTCCATTCAAGCTTTATTCGCTGTTTTTAATTTCTTTATTTCATGTCTCTTACATAGATGTCTAAATTTTGATTTTAAACTATTTTTCATTCTAGTGTCGGTTTATGAACTAACTCCACATGAAAAGTTGATCTTGCTTACTACTTTGATGGATGAGCTCTTGCTTCAACCTCAGATTCGAGAACGTATGGAAGATAATTACGAACGTGTGCGTTTGTTACGCAATCAGTTGCGCACTATACAAGCTGATAGAACTGTATTGATCAACTGTGGTACTGGAATTGAGGAAGAACAAGATGTTTTGACACATATGAAGAAAATAAACTCCACAAATGATGGCCGTGTTCATTTCGCTCCTGTTGGTCTTAAAGGACGCTTGGGCAGAGGAAGAGGTCGTCCAGTGGGTTCTGGTCGTACACTAAGCCGCAAAAATACGCAACTAGATTCGACAGTCGCTCCGTTGGAGAAATTTTTGTCAGAGTAAATAATTTTCATGAGTCATTTAGTAACAAAATATCTCAATTCCTTGATTTTAAATACTTACTAGCTTTAATTAGTAATTCTTTTGATTTGAAGTTATACATAACTTATTATGATTGTATGCGTTCTATTCTGTGGATTATTACAACGAATTTCACACCATGTGTTTTTTATCTAACCTTAGTTAACTTCGAGTTATTTTTGTGCTTACTGTCATCAGTTTTTACACGACATACAAGTGGGTTAGTGGATTGGTTATGAATAACCTAAGAAAATACACACTCATAATCTTGAAGACATGTCATTGAATTTATTGATTTGACGAATTTTTAAGTTTCACGTTTGATTTCTGTGAACAACACACTGAAGTATCTTTATATATTTTGATAATTTTTCTGCAGTGAGGATTATACGTTAATCAATCGAAAGGAACATCGACCCAATTCAGATACTGGAACAACAACTTCTTGTATCTCTTCCTCATCTACAGCTAATATATATGAAAAATTGACAGATTCATTATTAGAGGAACAAAAGTTACTAGACTCTATTACTCAGGTTTCGCGTGGTTGCTCAATGATACCTCTTGGTCAAGACAGATTTTATCGGTAAGTTACTGATTTTGTCGTGTTTATCTATAAACTAGAAACGAACTCTAAGGGATTGACAATCTTCGAAATTGGATTCAGAGCTTTTAACAAAAAATAATCCGATTTTTCGAACAATCACTTTTTACTTCTATTTATAAGATTAAATTAGTTTTTTGTGTCTGTCAAATTATTGCAAGAATTTGTAGGTTATGAATCGCTCATGAAGTTAAATAAATATAAAGTGCAAATTGGTATTCTGTGTTGATACATTTCGATAGACGGATACACATCAAGTCTTTACATGGTGTTGTATGAAGTTTTCTGTCTCGAAATTTAGGGATAATGTATAGTCAGCAAAACTACCTTTAGATTCATTTACTCGGTTGTTTGGATATTGTTATATCTTGAATAGTTGATTTTTCTTGATACTACCGCGTATAACAGAGCACTAGAACACCAAAACCCTTCCAAGTCGCAGTAAGAAGACAGAAGACTAACGAAAGGAATATTATTCCAAACAGTGTCAATCATAGTACAAAATTGTCAGGTATTTATAGTTTATAGTGAGAACGAAATCATCATTACAGTCTTCCAATCCGCATACAGGGGTTTATTAGCATTATCCAATAATCGGGAAGCTACACGTTGGAATTCTAGAATATTCTTCCGAGAGGTGATTGGATGAGACGTCTTCGGCTCCTTCTAAGCCTCTTACAGCTTCCTCGAGTTCACCGGTGGTCCGTCACCACAGATATATTACTCATTAAATGGGACACGACATTTTACCTGGAGATTATAATTTCGTATTCTACTTTGGTTAATAAATTTTTTAGTCTCCAAACGATGCACGGTACATAGCCTAGTACACGATAATTATTGACTGTTGCCATCGGTTTACGGAGATTTAGGTGGCTTCTCCAGACTGACAGGCTCACAAAATTCAGTTACTATTTACTCACGAATACTGGATCATATAAAAACCAATAACTGGCTTTGTTGAACATATCACTTCAGACTATATAGAAAACAGACAAGGTGCAAGATCCCGTACTCTGGAAGATGCAGATATAAACCAAAAGATATCTGTTTAAATATTTCCTTTAAATGACCACGGGCTGCGAGATGGGAAATCCAATCAAGTATTAGTTTGATGTTAGTTTTCGTAAGAGTTTAATATCAGCTGAAGTACTATTGAAAATTAGGAGGCATTTATATCAATATGTAAAAAAACCATCTTCGAATATAACTGTTCTCCTCAAACCATTTAACCAAACACCAGTTATCAATTATTGGTGCCTACATTTATATAGCTATACCAATCGATCAACTGTTATTTTTTTCCTTTGTACTAGTTAAATTATAATACTTGACTATTAACTTGTCACATACCATTGCCATTTACACTTAAATAAAACACTTACTAAAGTTAAATTCAATAAAGTGACCTTAATAATGAAACCTATTACTAAATCAAAACTTTACTGATTGAAACCAATGAGTTGTTATAGGAGTATTTGAGTAGCAGTAATTATACATATCTTTATGTTTTTCTAAAAAAATTTTCATTACATTCTAACCATTGTGAATCGTTGAAATGATATTCGTTTTTCACAATTATTTAATTCTAAAAAGTTAGCAAATTTCTAAATTTTATATGCTTACTTTATTGTACATATTTGTGCTTATATTCAATGAATTTATTTTACATTACAGACAATATTGGCTAGTAATGTCTGTACCATGCATACTGATTGAGGATTGCCCATGTGTTGATAAAAATCCTTATTATACTCATGTTACAATTCGAAATCGTCAAGTTGTATATACGTATCCTGAACTTGCTAAACAAATGGGTCTTAGTAGCTCTGAGGAGGCTGGTAGACATTTGCGGGAAATAATCAATTCTATTAAGGATAATGAATTATTAGATAGAGAGGAAATAACATTTCGTGTTGCCGCTTATCTACCGCATCAGTCTTTATCATCATCATCATCATTATCAGGAGGTTTATCAGTCGAACAACTGCGAACTCTTGTTAAACCGGTAAGTTTAACTAAATGCTCTCATTTGTCATACTTTAAACATGCCTATGTAATTAACTCATACTAGCCACAGATAATGATCATCCTTCTAGAACTGAAAAGATTCAAATTGAACTTCTAAATAAAAAAGTTTTATTCTAAGTATTTCTAAATTTTTGTGTGCTTGTGTATAAAAAGATTCAATTTAATTTTTTTCTCCATTTTTTACTGTAGGAACGTGTCAGTGTCCATGACTCTTCTTTACATAATGCCTGTCCTGCAGTTAAACAATTAGCTAAGCTACGATGTTATCCAGGGAAGTCATCTCTGTCCACAACTGTCTGGTCGATTCTCATACCCGATAAGTACAGGGAATTGTACCAAAAAAAGATGCTTGATTCAAATAATCATACTATCGTTTCTGATTCAAACACAGAAGTTGTTACATCTTCTTCCATACGTGATTGTTCTGATACCCCTGTAAAATTTGAAGAGTGTTATAATAACGTCAATAACAATTTTAGTGATGATAATGAATCGAAATATAAGACAGATGTTTCTGACGATAACAAAAATTGGTCTTTGACAAATGATGAACTTGATTTAATGGTTGAACAAGCCAAATGGACTATTGATTGTCTAGAAGCTTCATTAAACCCTCGCGGTATTCGTGAGTCTCGTCTTCGTAAAACGATTGGTCAGTTGCGGCCTTTACTTATTAAAGTACTTACCATGTGTCCACCGGAAATAATTTGTGCAACGAACGATAACTGTTCAACAGTAGTTGACAAGGTCAGTTTTGTATTTATAAATTGTTCTGTTATGTACCCTTTGTCGTATTTAACCAACCAGTCGATGAACTAGTTTAGCAATGTCTGCATTGAGGAAGATTTTTTTGGACTCTTTGTGGTTACTAACTTCGTTTATAAATATTTTCCACATTTTTCAAAATTTAACGTGATCACATTGTTCGTAGAAGTTTATGTATGAAAGTTCTTTGTTAAAAATCCAGATACCACCATGCTGCTTACAGTAACAATAAGATTCTTTTCATCCCGAATGCTTTTTCACTGACAGATTATAATCTCATTATGTAGTTGGAATTTTATAACAATTTTTAAGAGCATAGCTCCTGTCAAAGTTATTGATATTCTAGGTAATAAACATATACCAGGGTTTCCTACTCACTGCATTCATTCACAAAACGCGTAATTTGGTTTGAATCACAATGGCGCAGTTGTTCGCTGTTTTTTACTTCGATAGTTTCTAAAAATTACTGATAGATTTTGACTTACATTTAACATATAGAGTCTGAATATGGGAAACCCGTAATTGTTTTGTGTTCTGTGTTCGCCAACTCAGGCGTTCACTTTGTACGTTATCGATTACTTAGGCTATAAATAGCTAAAGTAACTCTTATTGAAGCATAGATTATTGATCATTTTAATAAAAGAAATTTCTATCAATGAGTTTGAAGACCATATTAGGAAACACTAGGAAGAAATAACCTGATGCATTTATTTGTCATTTATCTAACATTTTCCTTAATTAAATTAAGAAATTATACACCAGCTTGACACAGTTTCTTAACCCCTAGACAGCAATTAGTACTCAAATTGCATCTGGATCACTCGAACATATTGCTACCACTCCGGGAAAATATAATTATTCAGGTGGTAAATCAACTCATGCAGTCATGTGTTCGTGGTTGGAAATCGCTCTTGTTGGTATAGGATATCGTCTTGGTCGTTTGGATTTGATTAAGCGTCTTTTGTTCAATAAAGGCGGTAGTCTCACGGAAAATTCATCAAACACTGGAACCGAACTATGTAAACAAGATCTTAAAGAATCTCTTCAAAACAAGTAAGTTTACCTCAATTGCTTTTTAAATTGTCGAGATTCATAGCACTTGATTTTTGGTGATATTTTGTATATTAGTATACGTACTGCTCATATATGTGTAAGTAGTTTAAATCTTAGCGGTAAAGTTTCACTTCTATGTTCATTCTTTTTTTTGCCCACCTACTAGTTCATTATGTTTCATCCTGAAAAATATGTCGCTAGTTAGTCTGAGAAGGTAAGCGATATGTCGTGAAATAATTGATGGGATCAACAAAGAAGTAATTTAGAATTTAGTGGAAATGCTTTTTTGAAAGAAATTAATATGATGGCTTTTTAGTTGCTTGTTGGAAGCTTATCGAAATTGTTCTTAATGCAACTCACTTGCCGAATACCTGTCTAATTGCTTGAATTCGAACAACGTATTTTGTTGAAGAGCTAGTAATTATATTTAGATGGACGAACCAAGGGTGACAGCGAAATCTCCCTCAAGCTCACATAGTATTCATCAAATGTATCTTTGGAAACTACAGGTGTTTTAATTACTCAGTTCTAGGACCGTATTTAGAATACCAATGTCTTCCTAGTGTGATATCCATATTTCAGTATACTCCTAATCATCATATTCTTGAAGCGAATCCTTAGAGAAATTCAGTATTGTATTTTATACCGTCTGTTTCCTTCCGTGTATCAAACCTGTCCGTCAGTAATCTGCTCCTAGAATGTGTTCATTCTTTTGTTTGACGCCGCTTTAAAACTTTGTATTTTCAACATTATAGGGGTTCCGATGAAGTGGAAAATGATGAGACTGTCTCTGTGTCAGTTGAAGATTGTACTGACAGTTCTATGAAACTTTCTGAGGCTCTAAAAACTCCACTAAATTGTAGTCCTATTAATCCGGATGTAAAGCGTCTTTCACAAATAATTTTATCACTGGGCCATGATGTTAGTCCGAAAGGAGTTGCTGGACCACTGGGTGAGCTATTTAGTGCATTGAAATACATATTTATCCTTAAAGTGTTTTATTTATGGCGTAGATATATTTTTCTTTGACAGTATATTGGTAGTTTGTTTTAGCATTTTTTACTTGGTCAATAAATTTCTTGTGGTTTTATCGCCGTATAACGTTATACAATACACGCATTTAATGTGTTTTTACATTCCTTTCTGAAAAGTTTTTCAATTCTCTACTATTTCCGTACTGAACAGGATAAATTGACACTTTTTTCCAGGCTATGTCATAGTTTATTTTTAGCCTATTAGGATACAAATTCATACTAAAATTTTATTAACGTCTAAGCTTTTCAAGTCGGGCTTTTGTTTGAACAATTGTTTGCTGGTATTTACGGTACTATTTAAACTTAAATACAAGTTTAAATATGCAAAATACCCTGATCACTTCCAATTCTATGCTATACAACCATTAAATTGTATAAAAGTTGTAAAATTTAATCTGTAATTCATCAAATGAATAAATTTTTAAAGAACACAATTAATTGTTTATCAAAAAGAAGAATTTCTGACATATAGAGATTGTGATTCTGTTCACAAATGATCTAGCAAATTAATCAACTCAAACATAGACATTCAAACACGGGAAATAAATATAAAAAATTGCCAAGATACCATTTTGATTGAAAAAAGACTAGTTAGTTAGTGAAACATGTGATAACTGAAATACGGTTGAAAATCAAAATTATAGGCAAAAACGAGTAACAATAATCTCATTTTAAGCTTAAATGTGATACACATGAGTGAAAGGATTGGAACAAGTAATATCACATGTAGGATAGAACAAAGTATTATTGTCACATGAATTACGTACGTTAGGGATTTTCGTACACATATAAACAAAGGACATTACATTATTCTTTCCTCACTGAACGTTATGAGCTACTCAACAGTTTTAATTTTATATCTGATTCATTGTCTAACATGTATCTGTTCATCCGAGTAAAATAGAATTTTGCAAATCATCGTGATTTCCTATGTTATATAAGATAATGTATTCTAAAAATAAATATATATCGTACGGTATTTGAAAATCACCAAGTTTCTACTTATTGTGAATTACGTTTTTTGATTCTATTCACCGTTTGAGTGCAACTGTCACATCCGTCAAACAGTTGTCAACAAAGTCGTTAACTATATAAGACCATTTCTTGTTTTTTCTCTGCAACTTTTCCAGCGAACGATGAAAGGACTTTGCGTAGTGAACCTATTAATATGTCAATCAACAAACAATCAACTGATTTAGAAAATATATTTTCAGAAAATACTGTACCATCTGAAGTACATGATTCAAATACAACAGCCAATTCTAATATGACCCAATCATATAGAACTACTGGTTGGCAAAGATGGTGTGTTAATGTTGAACAGGCTAGTTCTACAGCACAGTTACATTTATTAGCACGTGCTCTTGAACGTGGAGCTCATCGTGCTACCTTAGGTGGTAGAGGTGTGTCGTCTGCAATTGCTAATTATGTCTCGCAACATCCTTTACCCGCTCTAAAATGTACTTCATGTCGGTATGTGTTATTATTATTACTATTACTAAATTTAGTTCGTTTTGTTACATTTTTCTGGTTTTATTTTAGGGACTTGAACTACCTACTTATGTCTGTTACTCCTCGTATTGGAGCGTAAGCCACCTACCATGATTCCCCATCGAACTCTGTCCTGGGCAATCCTTTACAGTCTTTTCCAGTTGCTATTCATTCTTTTCATGTCTGCTTCCAATTCCTGGCTCAATGTGTTCCTTGGTTTTCTTATTCCCTTGGGGATTGTAAGTTAGGGCTTGGTTTGTGATGCAGTCTGATGCTTTCAGCAATGTATGTCCTATCCACCTCCAACGTCTTTTCCTAATTTTGAGTTCAAATGGAAGCTGGTTTGTTTCCTGCTATAGTAGGTTGCTGCCAATGGTATCTAACTAATGGATATGGAGTACCTAGCCTAAATAACCGTTTATAATACCTATATCTTTATGATGGTGTTATAATTCTCTCTTTCTACAACCCACCTATTCCTACTGCTTAGTATTCTCGGACAACAGTTCACTCGACAAGTCCCCAAATCAGAACACGGTTGAACAGGGAAGAGATTATATTCCCAATAACAAGGTTAGATAGAAGTAAGAAGCACAATAAGAAAAACGTTAGTATATTTATAGTTTTTACATGAGATTTCTAGAGTATTATCCGAGTATCGACTTGCGCGGATTGAATAAGAATCAGCCGATCAGCGTGCATTGAGCATGATTTAATCCAATCTATGTCTCGCTGACAGATGATTGTGGTAGTACTCCGCGTCTTAGCTCCATAGAATACGTCTGTCTGGACGTTTGTATTGAAGATTCTGACTTTGATATTGACTGACAGTTGTTTTGAGTTCTATATGTTCCTTAAATGTAGGGATTCTGCCCTTGCTTTGCCAATCTGGACCTGTACATTTGTATCAGATCCTTCTTGTTCATCGATGATAGACAACCTAACTACTCTAGTGAAAAAAAGTCCTGCTTAAGCTACACTGACTTTATTTGTAGAATTTTTTGAATATGATCATAGTATTGTTGTTATCACTATTGGTAGAAATTTAAAGTAAATGTGTATGGGAAGAAAATTATAGCGGAATGTTTTACAACTATATTATGTTCTATACATGACAAATGACTGGAAATCAAAAGTTTTATTCAATGTTTTTGTATAGACTGAATTAAATTCACTATGTGAAGTGAATATAGAAAGCTATTTAATTTTTTGATTATTTATTTAAACATATAAATATTGATATAAGGAGGTATCATATATAAATGCGTCACAGTGCATCATTCGATTGGTATGAGGACTGTAATACTGCTCGGGTGCCCAAACCAAATCAGGTATTTGGACTTCTTGTCGTATAAAAATGAAAAATATCTACAAGATGTCTTATTGATTTATCATTTAATTATTTACTAATTATGAGTTACTATTTCTTAAATACATATTTAACTGTTATATTAGTTGAATTTTACGAATTTTACATTCATTATTATGAGTTTGTTGATACTTCCTTATGTAATCAGTCCATCATGTTACATTGTCTATTTATGATAATTAATCAAGATATCTAGAATTTATCCCAGAAAAAAACTGTCGAAATTTTCTTCTGATAATAATATTAATAATGAAATTCATAAGTATGAAGTGACGTGTTTCTCTTTGAATTTGTGGTTTGTAAAGAAAGTCGGAATGCTTGTAACCAACTTTTTTTGAATATTCAACTTTGATAATGTACTTTCTCGCTTTTATTTTCTTCTGGAATGTATGAAAGTTTCATTTTAGACGTAATAAGTTTTTTCGAGCATCTTCTTTTTAACTTTGAGATCTGAATCGGTGATACATGTACACTTTTTGTCTAGTTGTTACTCCGTTTGCCGATACTTTTAAATTAGCTATCAGTTACTGAATTCTAAGCTAAGCTACCCTGATTTCTGTCTCTACCTTATAGTTTTTTGTTGTTGGCAAATTTTCCATTCTAATTGATTATTTTGTTCACTACCTAAAAACCTTATTTTCCACACTAATATATTTATAATTTCAAAAATGTCTGAATACTTTTATTGTAGGGGTCCTCCAGATGTTTTGACTGTATCAACTGCATCCGGCAATCTGTCTGCATTTTCTGTTTGCTCTGGTTGTGCTTGCCCCTATCACCTGCATTGTCTTCTTTCTTCAAGCAACCGACGAACTAGTACCCGACGATCTCGAACTAAACAACTTGACATTTCAGATTCAAATAGTCCAAATAACATTGATTCATCGTTTACTGGGTTTCTGAGCAATTATTCCTCTTTATCCAGTGTTACATCTGCTCGTCTTGAAGTGTTAGGTGGTAGTCTTATATTGTGTGGATTTTGTCTTCGTTCAGCCGAGGCGTTATTGTCAGGAGCAGACAATCCTACAGGGCTTTTACAGTCGAACAATGAAGCATTTGAATTATCTACTACATTAGTATATACAAACGAAGATTATCTGGGTACTAATGAAAATACTTCACTCCAAAAGGTAATAACACTTATGATTACAGGTTTATTTATTCTTCGTATCTGAATAACCAAAATTCATTATTAGTATTAGTATTTCACCGTTCATCTAGTGAAATCTTTTTTCTTATTAATCTTGGTCTGTTTGTGAAAGTTATTGGAGTTTTCTTTTTACTCGGTATATATTAGGTTAGGGAATGATTTTTTAATGATATGGGTTTGTTAATATCTGAAGAGTAACAGTTTGTGAAGTATATAGCCTGCAAGTGTTAATTTATTAAATTAAGAAATAAATTCTGGGAACTTTATAGTCCAGTAAGAGTTTGTATTCTAGTTCCTTTTACGTTATACGTAATGATATTTAAGTTGAATATACTCTAACATTTTCCTAATCCAAGTCTAGACTTGCAACTTTACTGTTAATATTCGACTGCTGTTATTGATGTACAGATTATGGTCTTATGGATGTGAAGCCTTTACTTAATCAAATAACAGGTTGTACTATCATATCAACTCGAGTGTAAATACTTTTTATGGATATCATTCTCATTTACTGTGTTATAGTTTGTACTGACTTAGCACTTGAATGATTTCAAGAAAATAACCTATCTTGTATCGTTATTAGATTACTTACTAGTATGTAAATAGAATTTCTTTGCGAAATTAATTTATGTAAGGCGATTTTTAACTCATACCCTTGGTAGGTACATTATTCTGATTAAAATGTTATGTGCGGAGATAAATTATGAGTAAGGTATTCATGGAATATTTTACAAATTCAGTCAACAACTGTGCAGAAAACACAGCTCTTATACAATGAAATTGTGATTTTAAATGCATTAATTAACCAGTTGATCGTCTATTTTGATTCAATGTGTACTTTTTAATGTATATTTTTAAGTTGTTAACCCATTATAATTTATTTAGAATCATAAAAGATTTCGTGCAAATACTGTTCAAGTCAAATTGATTTTGATTGATAGCTTATTATTTGAATATTTGTTGATCATACTTCAAGTCTTTGTAGTCGGGGAGTGTGAAATAATAACATTAAGAACCACGTAAAAGCTTATACTTTAGGCTACTAGCCACATCAATTGTTTAAGGAATACTTGACTTCCGAAATCAAGTTAGTAGGTGAACGTTATTTGTCAAGACAGAAAAGCGACAACAAATATACAACAACTTCACAATGCCAAGCTAGGTATAAAACGTGTGAAGTTGATTGCCGGTTTTTCCTATTGGCCGTTTATGGATCAGAAAATCGCATATTTTGTGGTCGACTGTGTTGTGTCAACAAGCAGCAAACCTCAACAGTCGAGCGCCTCCAGTTTTATGGCCATTACTTGAAGATCCATGGTGCAGAGTCAACAAACACTGAAGGAGCAACCAATTGGATCACATGTTTGCTTCTCGTTGATGCATCCTCAAATTGGCCTGAGAATCTTCCAATGGTTCCACTAATCACAATATAAACCATCCAGATTATAACAGACCCTCAAATGCCCTGCTACGGTCAAGTATGAAAGAGTTAACTCTCCCTCTCGAAATGCAATCACACGGTCACGCGCATACAGCCGCTGACAGGGAAGTTCTAATCGCTGCCTTCTCGCGAAGTTACTGCTGTTTACGAAATTGAGAGGACGAAAAGTGAATGTCCGGCACTTTAACCGGGTTGGTAGACAAAGAGAGTCACCTAGGGGCGTTAGAAAACCTTGATTCCAAACCAACCGTGCACATGGGCTCTAGAATCCTGAGGAATCAAATGTCGTATGAACCAGTCGTTGGTCACCGGCTACCATGGGACTGCGTCTCCTTATATTGTTCCACTGCCTTGTGGATTAGACCTTTAGGTCGAAGGCTCCGGGTGTGGCCCTCCAAGTAAAGCACCTGCTTCGATTTGGGCATCCGGGCAGTATCCCAGCCCTCACATAAATCGAATAATTTATGTGGTGCGTATGTATTTGGTACTTCTTCGTACCAATGTTTATGCGTTTAAATAAAAATAAATAAATCATTCTATTGTAGTCGGCGTAGTGATATTATTAGCACACTTCACGAACGTATCAGAATCGAAATAGATTTTTACGCAGATCGTTAAGAAAACAACGAATTTTCCTATGAATAACACTTGAAATATTGATTGAGTTTAATTTATTAGATACTGTATCTCCAGATCTCGAAAATTATGTAACTCAACACATGACAAATACTATTCTCATTGTTCTCTAACTAGAAGACAAATCGAGTTGGGAGAAAACGTCGTTCTGTTGTTTTTGACGAGTCTGATGATCCTACGTCATACGATGGGAATTCAGATGAGAAAACTGATCATCCTCTTGAGAATATGGAGGAGCTAGATCCTGATAAATCGACCGGAAATCAGCATACGGAAACAGGACACACAAATAATGTACATGTAACTAGACGACGTGGAAGACCTGCTCGTCTTCATCGTGTATATAGTAGTCGTGGTCGTGGTCGTCGTTCAACGAAATTTCTGTCAGAGAAAGTTAGTCATTGTGATAAAACTGTTGAACCGAGCTTAGAAGTTACTTATGCATCTCCCGCATCAGTAGATATGTCATCGATCAGTAAATTGTGTGTTACTGTGGATGTTCATTATGATGATGAAGTCGAACAGTTGCTTAGTCCTTTAGATCATCAAAGTAAAAAACTCAAAGGAGACTCCGGGTCTGTAAATTCAGCTTTAACAACAAACAAATCATGTCCAACTGTTGAACCTGAGGGAAATTGTCGCTGTAAGTTCTGTTTTCAGCTATTGTTTTGTTGATAATCTTTATTATTAGTACTAAAATAGTTGTTTTTAGTACTTATACTCACTTATACTAAGTACTGATTGACTGTCACAATATAATTCTGGAAGCTTTCGATATACCTTATTTGTAATGCATGTAAAAATGAAATAACTAAAAACATTCACTCAATTCATTCCATATAATTTTTGTTATTATCTTTGTAGTAGTAACATTGTTCATTTCCATTTGATTTGTTTCTATGCACTGAATTTCCACTTATTTGTTTGTGCGGTGTTTAATAAGATTTAACTAGGGTAGGAAATTGAGTTTCAAAAAGCCTTTGGGTCTCCAAACCAAGATACTACATTTGTTCATTCATTCATTCTGTAGCGAGGTTTGTAATTCGTAGTTATGCTTTACAATACAGCTAGAATCGACGTTTGTAGACGAGATGAGGAATAGCTCCAAGTTGGACGAATTGACTTAACTGTATTCATTTTTTAATTTTTCCTACAAGTTTTTAACTGCACATCATGTTACATCGTTCTTCCGTTTCACTCGTTGGTATTGGAAGTACCTGAAAATCACACCTTACATTCTTATCATCCGTAACCATTCTGTATACGATAATTTCACTAAGTCATTTGGTTAATTTTTATTATTTTATTTATTAGAATTTATCTCGTAACTTGTAATCACAGAATTGCTTCTATTTTCCTTTTTGTTTAGTAAAACGTGCATCTATTATTTTAGATAATTGTGTTTCACAAATTACGAGTACCAATGATAGAGGACGTCGTTCTAGTCGTGGTCGTCCTCGAAAATCTGAAGTTACTCACCCAACCCCTCACTCGAAGGTCCTGATTCAGTCAATCCTTATCGTGTAGTCGAGAGCAGTTTGATCAAGCTACTGCTGAATGCTTCCTATCAGAACTATGTACGATCAGTTCAGCACGTCCACTTCTCCGATGTGGTCTTGGTCGAACTGTAGCTTTGAATGAATTAAATCAAGCTAACGGTAATTCAGAAGATAGTTTCGTCGTTAATTCCCTATCTGAACGTTCTCGAGCAAGTCATCGAACACGCTCAACAACATCGGGTCATTCTTCTGAGGATCGTAGATTATATGCTCTAGATTTGGTCGGGTTACAAGAGATTTTGGCTCGTGGAGAATTACCTCAGGGACCAGGACAAGTAATCTCTCAGCTGCGGTTAGTTGCTTTACTGTATAGAATTCCAATCTTGTTTCATATTTTTTTATACGGATAATCATATTATCATCCGCCATATGAACCAGCTTTTATTTTTCGTATCCCATTTCCATTTGCTGAATTACAGGTGTCATATAATTATTTTATCTTAAAAAAGACCATTTGTTTTTAAATTAATCTTTTATGCGTTTGAGATATTAGCGAATGAAACATCATTCATCATGGCATTTTGGAAATATCGTCTATTTAGTTACCGTTTAGATACACTCACCAGTGATTTGATGGTGGTTTACACTAACTCACTGTCTTCTCGCGGGATTACTGTTGTTTACGAAATTGAGAGGACGAAAAGTGAATGTCCGGCACTTTAACCGGGTTGGTAGACAAAGAGAGTCCGCCTAGGGGCGTTAGAAAACCTTGATTCCAAACCAACCGTGCACATGGGCTCTAGAATCCTGAGGAATCAAATGTCGTATGAACCAGTCGTTGGTCACCGGCTACCATGGGACTGCGTCTCCTTATATTGTTCCACTGCCTTGTGGATTAGACCTTTAGGTCGAAGGCTCCGGGTGTGGCCCTCCAAGTAAAGCACCTGCTTCGATTTGGGCATCCGGGCAGTATCCCAGCCCTCACATAAATCGAATAATTTATGTGGTGCGTATGTATTTGGTACTTCTTCGTACCAATGCTTATGTGTTTAAGTAAAAATGTATAAATAAATACGCTAGCCCTAACAAGATAACGGTCAGTAATTGTGCCATTATTGAATATATTATGTACTACTGTGGTACTTATGCTGACTGATATACGTAGTATGTAGCACAGTCGGAAGTGGAATGCCTGGCAGCAAATAATTGCACTGAAGGGAACGATAGGGGAAACAAAGAAATCGTGATAACAATAGAATTAGAAGAATCATGAAGTATGTAGAGGACAAATGAAGGGGAATGTGGAAATGATGTACTAATTGTACGATTTCCATATTTTTCGAAGGAACTGTCTAATTTTGCATGAAATAAATTGGTTTGCCATATCTGCGTTTCATGCACTACACCACAGCTTTTATAACCGATTGATGCAAGCAATTATATACCATTTACTAAACATGGTCTGTTTTCTGGTTGTCAACAATTTAAAATTGTATTGATATTGTACTAAACATGATTTTTTTTACTAGTAAATCAGCGTCGAACTTATCTAGCTTCTATAACTGTTCAATATGAGTCGATGATGACCTATGCATTGGACGAGAGGATATCTAAAGTACACTCATACCGACTTTATAATTGATACGTGTTGACTTCATGTCGTTTGTCTCATCTAAAATACATTCGGCGTTGAAACCTACGTTTGCGAAATCTAGCTAATTCTAGTGGTAACATAGTAGCCCCGTTTCAGTATTTTTATATTCGTAAATATAATGTTATGTGTTTTTGAAGGCGTTACTCTTAAGTTTCGAGTATCAGTTCTTATATTTTTTTAAAATCGGAAACATTTTCTTTGTTATCTCATCACATTATCTTAATGGTATAGCAATACCTTAAGGTTATGTAGCTTTTGGTAATGATTGGTAATTTATTTCCTGTAACAGTGACCTCTGAGACATCTTTTCCGGTCCATATTTCCTCATAACAGTTTTTGTTTTCTGATTGATTGTGATCACATCTAGTTGGCTAATTTTCCTGTTCCCCAGGCTCATGTTTCTTGTTTGTTCGATTCCAAGTTTCTTTACACCTCTACCTTTTCTTTGTATTGCGTCGTTTGAGGATAATATTGAAGCGTTTGATGCCAGTTGCAATAGACCCCGTCCATAGCAGAATAGTCTTAGTCGTTTGTTATTAGGAATTACTGCAAACTAAATCAAGCTTAATAAGAGTTTTGCTCCTCTTGCTACATGGGCTACCAATCAGGAATCTTTAGCAAACTATTCTGGGCTATTCTTCCCAGTTGTTGTCAAATGCTGTTTATGGTCTTGATGTCTGTGTCCATTACCCGATGGCATGTGTTATTTTATCCGTCGCTTTCTTTCGCTTTTAGGATTGCAAGTTAGGGCCTGCCTTACGTAGCCAGGCTTGATGGTTTCCACACGTGTTCTCACCTTCAGTGTCCTTAATTTCTTTCTCAATTGGCAACTGGTTTGTTTTCTGCTATAGTGGTTTATAGTTAATCTTATCTTATATAAACAACTGTTTATAAATACATGTACCTTTTCGATGCTAATAGTTATATTCCTCCAAGTTTCAGCTCGGTATAATAGCACTGATTTAACGTTAATGTACAAAATCCTGACTTCAGTATCGCATGTCGGTTCTTCTGAGTTCCGGATACTCTTCACTTCTATGACACAACGGAAACTCACTTCATATTCATTTTCTACAAGATTTAATACCTGAACCTGTACTCAACTCTATGTGTTCACTGTTATCTATAAGGAATTCGTAATTGCTCTCTCTATAAGCATAATAAATTTATGCTTTTTTTCTCTCATCTAAAATTTAATGTATACATATTTCTTTGTTTACTTTGGTTTTTCTAGACTACTCCTATCTCATTGGCTGCGTAGCAATCGTCCTGGTAGTCGTTTGCATCAATGTGCTTCAGATTTACTAGAACAGATGAATAAAAAGTTGAAAGCGTTACAACAATTGAATATACCCACTGTTAATGATAATATCATTAATAGTAACAATAGCAACAGTAGTAATACTGTTACTAATTCTTTAAATAACAGTAATAATATTGACAGTGAGAATCTAAGTCCTGTCAATCACCACCAATCACAACCATTATTCACTACTAGTCATTGTGGAAAACGCAAACGGTAATGATGATGATTTTATGTTAATTGAAATATGCGGTTTTACATTTATTGTGTATATTTATTATTGCCTTTTTTATTCTTTACTATTTATTTTTGTACAGTAAAATCACTCTATATACATAATGAATAGAAAATGAGTATTTTCACTATCCCTTTCCGTCTTCGCTCTCTATAATAAGTCCTGTTTTGATAAACGTAAGTATGTTGTTACTACTTTTCTTATTCTCCTCTCTGAACCACTTTTGAAAATAATGTCAATTGATGACCTCTTTCTTTTTGTTTCGATTTGTATATGTTCATCATTTGTTTTTTTGTGTATGTGCGGTTTCGTTCTTTATTACTATGTGCAGACTGTTATTGAAATTGTAATAAAATATAGAAATAAACTAATTATCAATACACGTAATTCCTTTCTTTACTTTTAATCTATCAGTTAAGTCATTTTTATGTGATATTCTCATAATGTTTATAAAGGATAAAGAGATATGTGTTTTTGATTGTTTTGTAAGAGCTAATGTTTAATTTCACTTCTTGTTTTATAGCTTATTAAAGTGTTTATCTAGTAAATATTGGAAGATTTTTAAAAGCTTTTTCAAGTAGTTGGGTAAATTGTATTATTGTTTTCTATCCTTCAATAAACGTTACCTGTAAGTCTTTATTTAAGAATTCTTATTTACTCTCCAAGTTGGTGAATTTATTACTCAATGAGATAGTATAGTGAATAGTTTTCGTAACTATTTTCTTTTAGTACATTTTCTGTTAGTAAGTGTAGAACAAAAGTTCTAAATTGAATTAGTTTAAATTATTATCTTTAGATATAGTGTGAAACCAATTTCAAGAAGACTGGCAAAATATCTGGAAGAGAGCAAACAATAAGATGTGATATGATGTTTTTGTTTGTGCTGACCCTACTTACTTTTGACCATATCTCATCCGATTTTGAATCGTTGGTTATAATCAAAAAGCAAACAACTTACTTTATAAGTACTACTTGCCACCTCTCATGCTGATCTTATTATTTCCATTGAAGAGATAGTCTCATCCTCATTATTAACTGTTTAAAAAATTTGAGTTTTTCATTACAGTTGTTTGTGAATGAAATGTATTTTCATTCACTACTAAGAATGTGAACTCCATCCATACTGAATATATATTATCATTTTTCTTCATTGATTACCACCTAGATTTTGTAAGTATTCTATAGAAATCAATAATCTTTGGATTTTAATCGGGAACTTAAAAATACGAAATACGATCATCTGTTAATTATTTATAACTTAGTCTTATCGTTATACTCCATTTGTAAGAGTTTGGAATTAACCAATCCTAGTGTTCGATACTGCAGTTGTTCAGTCTATTTTTGGCACATCGGCCTCTTTATATTGTCATCTATTCATAAGCATCTTCGTTTTTCCATATGTTCATCATACTACCTAAAAATAGTAAGTAGTCTGAGTTGTGTCCAAATATTTTACATGAGTATCATGATGTGTTATCCCTTTGTCAAATCAGTTGATTTATTCTATTCGTTTTATCTAACCTCTGACTTCATTGCATTGGTTCATCTTTATAGTGTAACCATGCTTCATTTTCCTTTAACTCTTCTAAACAACGACCTATGTAGAGAGGTAATTGAAAATTTTCAGATATCTAGTAATTTGCGGAATGCTATGCCGTAAGAGTTCGATGAATTTAAAACGTGAGTATATTGTTACATAAATCACACTGCATAAAAATAGTGTTTATATGCCATAATTGCCTTTTAGTCGTGTCAATTTATCGGTAGTTCATTGTCTATAATTTGACCGATATTTCGAGAATTGGATTTTTAATGTTCTGTTAAATAATCTATGTATATATATATATGAGAAAGCTTTAGTTCTTTATTGTATTTAGGGTTTTCAAGGATTTGAATTCCAAGGCTTAACTCGACATCCTCAATAACTAAACTGTTGTTGATTCAATTAGAGAATAACATATTCATTCGGTAAAAGTAATATTAAGTGAGAGCTATTGATTATGCGGAGACTTTTCAGTTGTAGGGTTATTTAGCCTGGTCAAAACCAGATAATTTTCGAAAACCAAGGAACTACAGATTGTTGGTTTGTCCTAGTATGCGACTGATTAGCCTATTAAATCAGTGTTCATAAATATGAATAACAACATAGATGTCTCAACTGAAATAAAGAAAAGTTATGTAACCGATTGGAATAATTTCGAATTCAATCACTTGTATGTTTGCTTTGAATTTAGATTTCATTGTAGATAGCTTCCGTCAGTTATTGACATAAGCTTGTAAGCCAGTCAATAGGAAGAAAACTCATGTTTACAATTTCACCGTAGAGTAAACCGAATATCTGAAATGAGGAAGCAGTTAGAAATATCAGATTTCTTTATCTTTAAGCCATTATTTCGTAATCTTATGATACTGAACGAAAAAAGAACTTAGATAATTGACCGCAAACATGTACAACTCATGTGAGAATATTTAATTCTGGATGAATAATTCCGAATGATTCAATAATCTTTGTTGTTGTAAAAACTACAAAAACATTCACGACAATTAAAAATAGTCATGGAAATATGTGTACTTTTATAAACATAATAATGACAATAATGATTGTTGTCATTCTTATGGTTACAGGTAATAACTATTTCCCAATGGGTGGTAAAATTAATTATATAATAGCAGTTTTTTCTCGGTAATGTCTTCCTGTCATAAACCAAGAATACGATAAATTGTAATCGTTAATAATCTTTGTTGTTTAAATTATTTTTTAAAACCTTTTAGGCTATAATGAGACAACTCAGTACAGTTATAGTTTACACTATTACATTTGTATAGAAGGAAACTGCTTAATTTTGGTTAACTCGGAACTATTGGTTAAAAATAAACTATCCAATGAAATTAAAATTGTAACTAGCAATCACATTGTAGTGGAAATGTGCAACTCAAGTCTTTAATAAACCAATGATAATGAAGAGTAAGTGTTAATGAAATGAGCAAAACAGTATTGCAAAATCAAATAAATTCAAAGATGTATGATTACATTGGCACAAATTAAAATTTCGAAACTCACTGATGTTTTCATTTCTTTAAGTACATAAATGTATCATAGATACAAATTATTCACTATGTACAACAGTTTGACTAAAAATTAGTCGCATCAATTTTTTTTGGCCAAATGTAAACCAAAAAACTGAACTATCAAACCTACATGTTCATGTAGTTAGATGTGAGTGCTCCCTATTGTTTTCTAACAACCAACTGAAGAATATTTCACATCTGGTCACTTTAAAGTGTAAGTTGGCTAGTTGACGCGTTCTTGTGACGGAAAAAATTAAAAAAAAAGTCGATGTCTGATCTATAATGATTATTAAAATCTTATACCTTATCGACGACAAACGTTTCACTTTAACAAGGTTTTCATCCACAGTAGAATCATATGGTAAATGAAAATACATTAACTACTATACGCTTGTATTCTTTTCACAGCTAAATTGTTTGTTATCTTAAATTAGGATGAATATTTTTTTTCCTCATCATAGAAATATTTTTGACTAAGTAAGTAGAAAAAAAGTAACGGTATAACATGAATTTATTTGTTTCGAGAGTTCACTACAGCTGCTTACAAACTAGAAATATTTAATTATTTGTAAAGTAATACAATATGAGAAAAACTAGATTAAAATTAGCTTTGGGATGTAAATGTTGATTAATAGAAGACAATAATTATGAAAAAAATTAAAAGGTTTGTAAAAACAATTGTCTGTTTCTAGGTTGAATACTTTCGCTACTGTTTAATAATATTAAATCTGTTAATAATAGACTGATATAATGGATAATGTCTTAATTGATTAGAATTTAAGTGATCTATGGAATTGATTTGCTCTCATCAGTTATGACATCTACTTACATTTTAGGAAGTAGTAACTATGAGACGTATTCAATTAGTTATATCTTCTGTTTATAGCCGTTTCACTCTATGATGATGCTGCTACTTCACGTTCATAAAGTGATTTTTAATCAAATAATGTTAAGTCAGTTCACATTTTGCCAATCTAACTGTTAGGTAGTGTAAATCTCGTATGGCATGTACCAGTTTCTCTAATAGAGACCTTTCACGATTAAACATCAATACCAAATACTGAATAGGGATCACCGATTTTCAAGCGTGTCGCCTATACGATCTATGAAGAATGTAACTTACAAATTCTAACCATTATCAATATAATCTAAAAGCGTTTTTTAAGAAGTAAACTGATTTCACGTAATCAATTAGTTTGTATTTTATCAGTGAAATTTTAATTAGGATCGGTTGTTTTTATCAGAATTTTATTTAGTTGATGATACAAAATGAAATCAGAAAAGTTAGAGAAATATAAAGCGTCTTTTTGTCCAAAGAAAAGTGTGTCTTACCATTTACTCTTATGTTAATATTTTATATTCAATAAATTGATAAACAGTTAAAACTTGTTTAACTAACGAATCAGTATTAATTGAAGAATAATTAAGTAACCAAAAACAATTGGAATCAGTCTTTTGACTTAGATCTTGTCTTCTCAGATGTAGACATAATCATTAGTTACTGAAATTAATGATATTAAATGACAGATGAGGATTTTAACACTCATTCATGTTAACAGATACATACTGTATACTGAAACTTAGCAAATTAACAACTTTAAATTTATCCTTAATTCGTTTTGTATTGTTTGTTTAGATCTTCCTATTGGCGTTTAGGACTGCAATTGATCAGTCTCTTATTGGAATATGTGCACTCTGTGCGGCTTGTTTTAAGTCATATATATTATATGGAGAGATAGATGACGGCTAGCAGTGGAATCCAAGACTTGCGTTTCGTCCTATTTCGAACTCATCAGCTAGATGTACCTTCGTCCCAGGGTTGATGTTCACTCTGGGACTCGAAATCCTTAGTTTATTTGCATTTAATCATTGGTATGCTAAAATGTAAATGAATGTTGATGATTATATTGTACATATTAGTTCATTGCACGCTACTACATTTTGTTATGGACGTGCATGATGTTATATCTACTGAATTCATTTTCAAAAATGTATGCTTTCATAATATAACTAACATTTTAGTACTGTACGCTTTCAAATTTGTTTGTTTTCTTCAACTTTATTTGTATTCTGCTTTACACATTCAACTAATTAAGAAGTTAATAAAATTTAAATGATAAGCTAATATCAGTGCTGAATACTTGTTAATAAATTATGTATATCATTTATATTGGCTTGAAAGTTTTATTGTGAAGAATGAAAGAAACTTATCATTAGACTGTTGTATGTGATCGGCTGGCATAGATTTTAAAATAAACTATAATTCGTTCTCCATTTGCAATTTCCCCACTAAATTGTGTATCAAATATTACATTAATAATAAGGTTTTTAAACATCTGATGTATCTTAGTATTTTTGACGTTTAACAGTATAGTTAGACAGTTTTAGAGGTGTTGTACGCTATGAAATCTATGGCAATATTATCATCTCTTAGATATTAGTTCTATCAAGAACAAATTACATATTTGTTGTGATTTACTCTATGGATTACTCAGTTTAATCATTATGACAGAATTAGTTATGGTTTTAATAATTTGGAAAAAGGAACCTGTTTCTTAACATCATATTTTCAGTACATGATAATCATCGGTGTTGGCCCTTTCGTATTGAACATTAAAAAAAACATACAATTCGCATTCACAAACATACAAGACTAGACGAATCAATAACTTTTTATCAGAATGGAAACAATAACATTTGGGTTATTAAATATATCGGGTAACACAATTTAACCGTTAACCCAATGTCGTTGGTATCGGTGGGTATAAAAAACGTACATTTCTTTACAAAAATATTATCCAATTAGTCACCTTGTTTGTGTGTTAAGTCGCTTCGCTAGAAAGTAGAATTATGTAATGGAAATAAGTCGGTTGTCTGTGTAGAATAACAGGTAGATTTGTAAATGTATCAAATCCTTATGATTTAATTCTTGCATTGGTTGTTATTTAAGATATTAAGGTCGCTATCTTCAAGATAGTGAATAACTGACTGATGAATGAGAAAAAGTGATATTCATAAAAATTAACATTCTTGCAGTAATTCGATGTATTGATTTTCGAAAAGCGATAATAATACTCTCCTTCAATCTTTGATTAAGATTAACTGAAGATAATCCATTTCAACTACCATTTCTTCATGAGAGCCTAAAAAGCTTGGATATTTATCATTCATTGAAAGATGCCATTATTGGTTTGAATCCTTATGCAGATGATACATTCGAGTCGATTTAACTTTATGCGAATATTCGTTAACGCCTGAACGAATTGTTTGTCAGAAATAAGACTCCAAGTATACAAGAAACACTGTTCTAAAAGTTATGTTTGAAATAATCTCAGATTGAAATTTGAATAGTTCAACAATGTGGTCCCTCAACCATGTCCGTACTTCAGGGAAATAATCGAAATTAAGATTACCAAAGAATATATAACGTTTAACGATCAGATCTACATTGAATGCTTATCCAATCATACTCAGAAATTGACTTGAGTAAATAGGACACCATGAGTCAGGAAGATGTAGTGTCCGTTGCTATATTAAGCCCACACAACTTATTAAACTTCCAGACAAGTCAATCTTCACTATTCTTGAGTCACGTTTCGAGCATGTCAATTATTCGCTTACCAACCTTGACTTTTTATGTAAGCGTACATGTGCACTTCTCATTCTATTCATCACTTGTCTGTAACGTTTATCTATCCGACTAAGAACATCTATTAACGCTTGATTACATCGAGTTGACTCACAGGTTTTCTCCACTGTGCGTCATTTCGCTCCGTTTTTCCTTTGAGTTCTTTGGTAATTTAAAGGACTAAGCAACTGTTCGACTTCATCATCATAATGAACATCCACAGTAACACACAATTTACTGATCGATGACATATCTACTGATGCGGGAGATGCATAAGTAACTTCTAAGCTCGGTTCAACAGTTTTATCACAATGACTAACTTTCTCTGACAGAAATTTCGTTGAACGACGACCACGACTACTATATACACGATGAAGCCGAGCAGGTCTTCCACGTCGTCTAGTTACATGTACATTATTTGTGTGTCCTGTTTCCGTATGCTGATTTCCGGTCGATTTATCAGGATCTAGCTCCTCCATATTCTCAAGAGGATGATCAGTTTTCTCATCTGAATTCCCATCGTATGACGTAGGATCATCAGACTCGTCAAAAACAACAGAACGACGTTTTCTCCCAACTCGATTTGTCTTCTAGTTAGAGAACAATGAGAATAGTATTTGTCATGTGTTGAGTTACATAATTTTCGAGATCTGGAGATACAGTATCTAATAAATTAAACTCAATCAATATTTCAAGTGTTATTCATAGGAAAATTCGTTGTTTTCTTAACGATCTGCGTAAAAATCTATTTCGATTCTGATACGTTCGTGAAGTGTGCTAATAATATCACTACGCCGACTACAATAGAATGATTTATTTATTTTTATTTAAACGCATAAACATTGGTAAAAAGAAGCATCAAATACATTCATTAGACTTGTTAAACAACAACCTGGTGTGCGAGGGACAATGAGTAAGTCTTGTCTGGCAGTGGTTGTATATGCGTGGCTTCTGAGTGCATTTCATGAGGCAGAGTGGACTCTTTAGCCTCGGTCCTACCAGGTATTTGGCGGCTACATTTCCAATGTAATTTGCGCTTATATGTGTAAGTGCAAAGTATTTAAAATAAAAAGGAATATCTAATAAGTTTGTAAGTGAAGTTCTGCTATGTTAATTTATGAAAATCTTTTTTCTAGTAACGCTACTACAGGTTTATCGCTCTCTGTTATTGTTCACTTCAGCACATTAGCTTGTGTTACACTTGTATATATTGAAATGAAGCTAGAGGAAAGTCATTAGTTTTAATCTTAAGTTAATAGCACCAAAATAAATTTTTGATTGTAAACTTTGTAGTTTCGTCTTTTGAGATATTCATTTATTCCGTCTTAATATCTTCGTTACTTGAATTCTAACTACTAGTATTACCACCCTGGTCATATCCGTGATGCTTTCTATTGGTTATTACTTGTATATTATCCATTTTTGTTTTACAAATAACTTTGGCTAGTCCGAAATTTCTCATTTATATCTTAAGACGGTTGTACAATTATTCAAGGAGGAAAACTATTTAAATATTTTTTGGTTTGTACATTATGTTCAAATTTAGATTTGTGGAAACATGTAGTCACTGGTGACCTAGTTTATGAATTTCATTGGGAAGTTTGGACGGATAGAATTCAAATATATTGGTGGTGAAACTGATACCCGTGATGTTAGGAAATGATCGTCATGATGTGCCGTATACTGATTCAAATGTGAACCAATGGGTCCTTGATTTTAAATATAACACATTTATATTATGGCCTTAAGTTTTGGAGTTCAATGTTTTATAATGCAATGATTGAAGTCTATCGATAAATGTCCAAAACTCTCACAAACCTTATATTAATCATTTTTTCTGAGTTTTAAATAATTGACTAACTGAATTTACTTGTCGATCAAATCATTATAGAACAGAAGTAATCAGACCATTGAACAATCTCATGCAACTTGTCTTTTTGAATAGCCAAATTTGATCAAGCAAATAAGTCATCATTGTATTTAACCAAATATCTTATCAATACAATACAAAATTAATTGTTATGCGTTAACCACAATACTGAATAAAGCCGATAAAAATTTCTTATTTTATCAACTTTGCTGGCGAAACAATGAAACGTTAACATAAAAATTTTTTTGTAAGTGTACATTTTACTTATTAGTAGTTGGGTTGAATAAATAACATTTGTTTTTTTCTTTTTATTGTTAACAATGCACTTGTACGCATGCATATATATATATATATATATATATATATATATATATATATATATACATTTTAAACATCCAAAACGACTTTCATATCATACTTAAGTCCAGTTTATTTTTAACATATCACTTGAGATTAGTATAAATTCACTGTTGAATTATGTACATATATGTATGTATTGTTTACAAAAGATAATGATCATCTTACATGAAACGAATATAATACGTCATCCAACATTAACAAATAAGTAAGTGGGTGTAAACGACGTTTGTAATAAAAGTGAGATCAAGAAAAAAGAAACAAAGGAAAAAGCAAAAGAAATAATGGTTTTGTTTACATTGACTTAAATGTAGTACTATGGAAATAACTTATCAAATATGTTATTGGTAATTTTCAAATAAATTGAATGAAACAACCAATTTTTAATCGTTTGTAACTTGAGTTTGATTTTAAGAACACGATCAAGGAAAATATTTTTCTTTTTGAAGAAAATAAAGAATTTGTAGTGGCTGTGCTTCGCTGACCAATCACCCTCGTAACTGTTACCATATAATCTTCAACGGTGTTTGAAATCAGAAGGCAAAGAGAAGCAGCGACTACAGTTTTATTATCAGATAACTCAGACCACAAAGCAGTGAGGTGAATGAGTGAGTCAGCGAACCGAGAGTGTAGTGTTAAATGTACATGTTTATATTGTAGGGAAATGAATGGATCACCGAATCAATTAAGCAGTTAATAATAAAGCTAGCATCTTGTATGTAACTGATAAGAAAGCAGCGAAGTACAATCTTACTCTGAAAATGATATTTTTTTAAGTTTGTTTAAATTTATGAAAAATCATTCAAATGAAAATACTTTTTTTCTTGGTTTGTAGAGGCTGTGCTTCGTTGACCAATCACCCTCGTAACCGTTATCATATAACCCTCAACAGTGTTGAAATCAGAAGGTAAAGAGAAGCAGCGACTACAGTTTTATTAACAATGATGCGCATGAGTGAGTGAGCGAACTGAGAGAGTGTCGAGTGTTAAATATATATAGGAAAATGAATGGATCATTGAATCAGTTAAGCAGCTAATAATAAAGCTAGCAGAATGAATATATGCGTAGGCCGTAAGCAATGTTCAAGCATACATATTTCATACTAGCACAACAATAATAAAGGTACAATAAGTTGTTTTAGTATAGTACGGATGACTTTGTTCGCTAAATAAGTTAACGAAAGGGCTTAACCGAGTTAAAGGAGAACAAACTCAATTGCACATGAGTTGATATAAGTTTTTATACTTTCAGGAGATGATAGTCAACGTTCAACTTTTTAATGTCTCTATAATAAATAAATATGAAGGTTGAAAATTTGTTAAAAGTTATATTTTCGAATTTAATAACATACAGAGGTTAAATTGTATATTTGAGCAGTCTTTATATGTGAAAATTATATTTCAAATGATCTCAGAGATTGAAATTTAAATAATTCCAACGTTTCATCCAGTTAACTTAATTATTACTCTAAACAAGTTTAGACAAGTTAGCTGGAGGAAATGTTGGAATTATTTAAATTTCAATCACTGACTGCTCTATACTCGGCGCGCAATTTCTGTCAAACTACTCGTTCTAATGTTGATGAATATTCGTATATTTTTGAGTAGTTTGAGTTTATAGAAAAAAAATCTAATAAACATATCAGTTTAGGGGTAGTGGATTATAAATGTGATTATATGAATTTAGAAAGAACTGTAACATTTGACTGAGTATAAATAAAAAGGACTGATTTATTTGGAATATTTCAAGCATTTCTTGAATTACTTAAGGGTTTACATGTTATATTTATTGTGATTGTAATTTTATGATTCAACCATATTACTGTTTCTATCGTATTCGCGTCGATTATTACATATAATTGAAAGAACGATTAACCATTGTTATTACGATGACGCGAAGTAAGAACATTAAGACTGGCAGAATTGAAGATGTGTCTAGTCGAAAATGATTTGTACATCTATTTTAATTATTAATTAGTAAACAAAAAGTCACATATATGAAATTGTAGCAAAATCGCACACTTTATGTCATACTGAACATAATTTAATACACGAATATTGTATCTTGGATAAACATCTCTCTGAAGTAAATCAATGTTATATTGAATAAAATAGCACATGGAAATAAAAAAAAACAATATTGCACTGAAAAAGCACCATTTTAGAAAGTGTAATTTACACTTTCACCCAGCTACATGAAATACATTATTATGGTTGTACTTTATTTTTTCTTATTGTTATCTCCAGAAGCTTAGATTCCTAATATACCGCGTATAACTTGAGCACTTGAACGGTAGAACTTTCTCAAGTTGCAAATGAGAAGACAGACGACAATTGAAAGTAATGTTATTACAAACAGTGTCATTTATGGTACAAAATTGTTAAGTATTTATAGTTTTTAGTAAAAACGGAATCGTCATTATTGTTATCCAATTCGCCCACAGGGGGTTATTAGCATTTGTCCAATAGGGAAGCTACACGTAGAGATTTTGGAACATTCTTCTAAGAAATGATTGGATGGAATATCTTCGGTTCTTTCTGAACTTCTTAGAGCTTCCTCGACTTCACCCATGGACCGTCTTTACACTTATTCAGTTGAAATGCTTGGGATAACTGTTTTCTAAAATTAGTGTATTAAAACAGACTGCCTAAATTTTTTTAACTGATTAATTCTTAATGTCAACTGTATGTACTGATTCATAACTATCTAAGGCTTACAAATTATAACAAAATTAAATACTGGAAAATTAAAAATTAAATTCTGAAGTTCTTGGCATATTTCACTATTTTATTCATCTTTTGATATAAGCAAGGTATTCATGGGAATTCAAGCACTTTTTTATACGATAGATAGATAAAAATAATGATAACGTCTGAACTGACTAAAAAAAAGCATTATTGATTGAATATTCATGGAAGATACTGACTATTTAGTTCATTTTTAACATTTGTTCGAAATAATTACAGTTTGAATGCATATGGAAAGAGATATTTGTTACAATATTATATAACTTGTGTTGAAGGCCTTTTACTGTTTCAAAAATTTCTCATATTGAATAAAGCTTTCAGCATTACATTTCAATGGCAAACGATTTTAAGTAATAATGTTCTCCGAATATAAACAATTGCATAACAGGATCACTGTTTAACCCATAAGACAAGTTCATCATATATCACGTGAATAAGAGTTAATCTTTATTAAATGAAACAGAGAGGAGAGAGTATATTATTCATTATTATGAAAAAATTACATGAATATAATGAAACATCATTTTCTTGTCTTAACATTTTCTCATACTAAGCTACTTTTCATATTAGTAATTTTTTGACTATTAAACAAATATCTGTATGGGAATTAGTGCAGATTGTAGTATTTTAACAAAGGTTGAGCGGTTTTGCACTAGATTGAGAATCCTGAGTTCATGTTCCACGTGCGGGATTGTGGATATGAATTGCTGAGTAGTCCTATACTGTGACGAAAAAGCCATCCAGTGCTTCCAGGTTTTCAATGGTGGTCTAGATTAGATTCATTCGTGAATCCCACTGTTTAGATAAATATATTTTTTTTGGTAAAGATAAAAGTATTTGGAAATTCACTAGTTTGTCTGTTTAATTATTGTTATAAACAATAATTGAACTTTTATACCTATGGAAAAAAAAGAAACAGCTGTACAGTAATAATGAACATGTTGACCGTGTAATCAATGAAATGAATGTTGTACTGTTTATTATCGATTAAAATAAACAAACCTGAATTGTAATGTATGCAGTTAAACTTCATGATTATCAGTAAATAATATAAAATGAAGTTTAGTTTGTGCAATTAAATAGTAGTAGATTTCTTTAGCCAAACTAACACTGTTGTTTACCATTATAAGCAGATCAATTATATAATTTTTAGGCTGTAATGATGCCAAAGCAAATCAATCCTTTAATATTGGATAAATGTTGAAATAGTAAAATCATTTTTATGTTTAATGAGTTTAAATGAGACATTTAAAAGTTTGTGTTTGATAGTGTAATCTTGTAAATAAGTAAATTTTTATGATGTAAAACAAATACTTTTAGTGATAATACTGAATTGATCTTTACTAAAGCAACATATGTGAGATATATACAAAAACATTTATAGAAGTCATGTATTTGCTAATACAAAGGAATGACTGGTACAGTTCAACCAATTCGTTATTAAGG